GGATTCTGTTGATTCCTGGACATGCACGTGATGAAGAAGTCGTTGACCAGCGGACATTTGTACCTCCAGAGCGGCTTCAAGCAGACATTATTGCTGATGAAGAACGGCTGGTCCTTGAAGTGTGGCACAGGGATCGATAACTCAATCTTACTGGTTGACCCAATTAACGAAATTGGGTCACTCTCTCGATTAATGTTCGACAGCAAATGTTGGTCCCATTCTAAAAAGAAAAGAAAAAATTCATTGAAATCCATAAATACCCACACAAACACATAAACACAGACACATATAAATTGTATATATATATACAAACGAATAAACGCATAGAACCTTCAAGATTCAATTGCTCTCTTTTGTAGAGGAACAATGGAATGTAGTACTGGTTGAACTGCAGGATGCGTTCTAATATGACCGCTAGATCCAACAAACTGGCACTCTGATGACGTTGATGATGACGTTGATGACAATGACAACCAGAATCATCATATTAATAACTTTGACGATTAAAATGATGTTTAGGATGATGATTGTAAGCACGAAAATGATAAGAACGACGACGATGGTGATCACAATGATGATGACGGTCAAGATGGTGATGGTGATAGCAATGTAGAAGTTTATTGGTGATAAGGTTATAAAACCATTAACCAACTTCACGTCATTATTACCATTTCAAACCATCTATCATAAAATTATAGTAAAATGATAATCATTAAAAATCATTATCCTCATCATCAGTAACAACAATGCCATCATCATCATCATAAACAACAACAAAAATGTTATCATAATCATCAGCAACATCATCATCATCATCATCATCGTTATCACCATCGTCATCATCATCTTGGACAAACATTCAGATCAGAATCAGTTGTATTAGTTTGTTCAGATAGCTTCGGCCCGTGCTGAATTACTTCGACAATATCGTACTCACCTGAGTGCGATGACGATGACGACAAAAGTGACGATGAAGACGAAAATGATACAGTTATTACGATGACGTCATATTAGGTCGGAAAAACAAAAAAAAACACCAAATAGTAAACTTACAAGTTTGCGTGTTAAATTTTTTGGGGGCAGACGAGAACAATGACAGCATCCTATCTGCGTGGGTGGGTGTGGGAAGTTATGACTGTGATGAACATAACAATAACAATAATAATATTAATTTGGGCGACGCGATGGCATAATGGTTAAAGGCGCCTGGTCCAGCTGTTGTATTGATAGGATTCACTGGATTCGAAAGCAAAAAAATCCCAGCCTATCGTACGCAATGTGTGTGTATGTGTGTGTGTGATGAAGAATGTGTGTTTGTCGTTGGAACCTACAAAGTAAGGGCATAAGAGAGAGAGAGAGAGAGAGAGAGAGAGAGAGAGAGAGAGAGAGAGAGAGAGAGAGAGAGAGAGAGAAAGAGAGAGAAGGAGAGAGAAGGAGAGAGAGATTGACCTTTAACCTTTAAATAATTTTTATTAATAATTATTATTATTTATTGTTTACTTTGTACTTTGTCATCCGTTATGTAAAAGTCAAAGTATGAAACCTGGCAGGTTTTATCCTTTGAAAAAAATTTATAGAAAAAAAAAATAATATTATTATTCCTTCAATAAATCATTTATTTGTTTATTGATAATTAATTCATTAATTTACTTCTTCCTAATTATTTAATTGCGTTTGTTTTTTTTTCAAGTTAATATTTAAATTGACTGACTGATTGATTATTCTTCAGCAACCATCTCTCTCTCATTCATTTGATTATTCACTTGTCGCATTGTTTATCAATTATACGAACAAAAAATTCAATCAATCAGTCAGTCAGCCAGTTGGTCGGTCTGCCATTCGACCTCAACCAACTATCCAAACCCCAACCAACAAACCAACCAAGGAACGAACGAATGAACGAACGAATGAAAGAATGAGTGAATTAAAAAATGATTGAAAGAATTAATGAAGAAGACAACCTTGACGACAATCTTATCGGTCTGCAGATCTTTAGTCTTGCGGGTGGCGTGCAACGTAATCGTTCCTTTCTCCAGGTACTTCTCGCTACCAAACTTGCCTCTCAGCAACTAAATGAAACAAACAAATTGAATGTGGCCAAGTAATGGAATTTAATTAAATTAATCATTTCCTTTGAACTATGTCACTGAATTATTTTAATCTCTTCGATTTGAAATTTGACAAACTTAAATTACCAAAAAAGAAGTTATAATTGAATAAATATTTGATCCGCCAAATAATGTAGCGAAAGACTGCCAAAGTCTTGCGCTGTATTGATCACGTTCGACTACAGATACTTCCGCGTCCTACCGTATACTATATCCGTAAATTGCGTTTGTTGAATGCTGGAAAGCGCTATATAAATCGCATGACTTCCGCAAACAGCACCGACATCACTGAACGAACTTCTTGATAATTCTTATTCCTTTGCATAACGGACAGAAGTTCCTCAGAGTCTTTCATCACGATCACATCGGCCAGCTCAAATAGGCATATCGTACCTACAATTAAACATATATCATATCACCATCTATATCATTTTGAGTATCATTAGCATTGTAATTAGTATCATTATTAGTATTCTTAGTATCATTATAATTGTAATTAGCATTACTATTAGTAACACAGTAGAAGACAACACAGATGAAAAAGTTAATAATCCTGTAAGATTGTGATTGGTATTGGCATGACATAGATAGTGTAAATCAACGAACCTTCATCACTTAATATTATTTCGACATGTTCGTAATCATCGTGACGTTTGATGTAATGCCTCGGCGTGTACCTATCTATTTCACACTCGGAGTCCTCTAAATTATTTAAGTTGGATTGAAATGTCTTACCTTTATTAATTAGTAGGTACACATAATGAGTAATGATCAAATCAAAAGTTGGATTTGATTAAATTTATGTAATTTAATTAGCAAGTAATTAATGAGTAATTTAATAGAAATACATACATACATACATACATACAATAACAACGTATTTATATAGCACTCTAAGTATACAGTGCACCCATGAAAGCATGCAAAAATACGTCCCATGTAAAATAAATTTTTATCACACTAACTCATCGAAGCATCATAAGTATATGAAATTCATTCATCATATCATTTAGACAGAAATTAAAAGGTGTTTAAATAGTGGATATTTTTTTACAAAAAAATTTGCGAAGAATATCTTTTAAAGAGCATTGAATATGTAGGTACCAGATGCATCGGATCCTTTTTGTGAAAATGAACTTTTCAGCGCTGCCTTGCCGATAAGTTTTCTGATCAAAAAGTATTTGTGAGGTAACACCAAACATTAATTTTTCAATAAGTTGTTTTGTAAATTCGCAATAGATAGCATGAATTATTTTTTCTTTATAAAATGGTAATCTCAAAACAACGAGATTCATTGTTAATTAAATTAATAATAATTGTTGCATGAAACAAGATAGATGTTAAAAGATATTTTTTTAAACTTACGCATGAATGAATGAACGAACAAATAAATAAATAAACCAATTAAATAAATGACTAATTAATTAAATAATTAATTAATTTTTAACTTTGAGCGCCTTCCTTCAACCACTACAGTTGGCAAAAATTGCTAATTTTCCAAAAAATTATAAAAATATATTATTTTGAGAATTGATATAATAAAATAAATATATTAAATCAAGGGTGGGTAAACTTTTGCTGTGAGGGCCGCATTGATAACTATTTTACCCTTGTAAGGGCCGCATGTGTACTTAAATAGCAAATTTTTTTGATTCAGGGGCAAATTTTATAAGATTTGTGGCTCCATTTTTTGGCAAACAAAGCCTCGCGGGCCCCACTCAATAGCTTGGCGGGCAGCATGCGGCCCGCGGGTCGTAGTTTGCCCACCCCTGTATTAAGTAATAAATTAAATCAATAGTATTCAGGTACATAATATTTGAATAAAGCGAATTTGAAAAATGTTTATAAATAACAATTATAAAAATAGTTGATACTTTAATGAAGATTACTCCTACTAGTTAAATCTTAAATGGTAGACGAATATAATTTATCTTATATCATATTATTATAATAACTAGAAGAGTTTCGAAAAAAATAAAAAAAGCTCTTTAAGAGAACTTCGAAATCCTCCATCGGAGAATCAGTGAACCATGACGTCAGAGGTCTGGGCGTCACATCAACACCCGTCTCGTTGATAATCTAAAATAAATTGGGGAGAAATTTATAAATCTCTATAAAATATAATTCTATCATTGTGGAACAACTTTTGTGTAACTGAAAAACTAAATATTTTTAATATGAATTAATATTCAGGTAAAACCGGAGATCCGTCTTTAGATGCCCTAATTTCCTAATCCTAAATTTGGTGTATCACGGCAGATGGGTCATGTTTAAAAATTAAAATCAAATGGGTGAATACAATTTTGTTGCAATTGTATATTTTTAAAAACCACTACAAACTTTACATTTTTACAACAGCTAGGAAAAAAATGAATCTGGTTTTATCGAAAATTCTTACCTTATATAAATGTTTCTTGAATAATTTCTTCATCGTAAATGTTTATAATTATAAATTATTAAACATTGAAATAATTTAGTTTTCTATTTAAATAATTTTGGATAATTAAATTTTAGAACAATTTAGTCTGCCGTTTGTCTGTTTTTGTAAAATTCAAAAATGCCGTCTCTCAAGCCGTTAACTGGAAATGTATTAAATTATCAAATAAACTTTAAACCGTTTTTTAGAAATTATTTCTATCTCAATTTTTTTAATTTTTATTTCAAAAATAAAAATTTTAATTATTTAAATAATTTTTTAAATTAAATTTCTTTTTTTCATGCAAATATTTGTATTAATATACAATCCATATATGTAAAAACAATCGTACTAAAGTTTCCTTTCAACATTATTCGCAAATAAATCTCCGCACACATGAGTTGAGTTAAAATTTAAACATAAAAATTTAATTTTATCGGAAAACTTTTTATTAATTTTAGTTTATATCAATAACGTAAATGCTTTATTTAAAATTTATACAATATAATATATAATTGTAATTAATTCGTAATAATGTTTGCCTTGAAACTAATGACTGCTCTCAAACCCAAATTCAGCAACATTGCTGTTGCTATGTTGGGAAGAGAGCCATCAATGTTTTTATCGAAACCGAAAAATTGTTTTGCTGTTTCCAATTTATCCACAACAGGACAGAGGCCATCAAACAGAATATTTTATAATTACAACTGCACCACCATTAACTATGCTGTTAAAAATAAGACCACCACCAACAACATCAACAACACCAATATTATCAGCAGATCAGCAAGATTGTTCCATACAACACCGAGAAGATACATCAATCCAATCATTTTGATGCTTGTCAAACCACTGTCCAAATTTGTTTCCATGTTTAGTGGAAGGTTATTTTAAAATTTAAATTATTATTAATTATCTTAATTTAAATTTTAATCACTCATTTGTTATAAAATATAAATTCACAATTATTTTCTAAATTAATATACAAAACTAAAGTCTACTAACTATTTTTAAATAGGTATTTTAGAATCTGGTGGAGACGATTGACCCCGGAACAAAAACTTCACTACAAGAACAAATTCTTTAAAAACTATAAATACCTAGTAATACCTTTTGGGGTGCTTGTGATTGGGGAGGGAATTTTTTACTACACCCATCTTCAAACGACCCCCATCACGAACAGGAAAAGATTCATTGGTATTTCAGATGATCAGATGATGAAGTTGTCTGAATTTGAATTGAAAGTTGTATGTTGAAAAGTATTTATTCACATTACACTGTCTTTTAGTCTTTTTTATGTAAATTTTTTAATTTTTTGTTAAGGATTAATTCATTTATATTGTAGTTTACATTACATATAGTGAGATTATGAATTGCTCAGAACAAGTTAATCTGTTGGAAACAACAACTTCTTGTCTATTACTACTTGTTCAAGAATTTAATATTTTTTTATATGGTTAATAAATCTTGGATTAAAAGTTTTAGAGAGTGAATTTTTGATTTTGTTGGTTTAGTTGGACAAAAATTGTTTGTTAAATTAGTACAAAATAGTTGTAAATAATTTCCAATTAAGGTAATTAATTGATTGATCATTTAATCAATTAATTAATTGATTATTAATTCTTGTAAGCAAATAGAGCAGTTGAAAGAGAACATAGTACCAGCCAATCACCCACTCTACAGGAAGATTCAGCTGATTGTGCAGAGGTTGATTGACAGCAATGGGGACCTGGACAAGTTGAGGACACAGCATTGGACCATCTGCGTCGTCAACAATGACACAAGCAATGCTTTCGTCCTACCTGTGAATTTTTGTTATCCTTGTTTTGTGCATTTTAAACTTTACAATGTTAACATATGTCATGTGTTATACTTGAGGGATGTTGTTTTATAGTTTCATTGTGACTAAAATTCTATTAACTCAATTTGCCTGCACAATCCACATCCACAGTCTGGTCACATATTTGTCTTCACTGGTTTGATGAAGCACATATCCAATGATGACGAACTTGCATTCATTCTTGGTCACGAAATAGCACATGCTGTTCTTAATCACGGGGTTTGTATTGTTTTGTTTATATGTTTTGTATGTTTGTCTGTTTGATGTGTGTTTGTTTGTTGTGTGTTTTTTGTTGTATGTTCCTGTTGTATTATCATTCTTTATAGCATGAAACTGCATTTGACAGTCTTTCAGTTTCTGACATGGTGTTCGAACCAGGTTATTACACAATAACAATGACGCAAGGCTTGACACTTACTGTCAGAGCTAACTCATCAATCATGATATGCCATTTGACGTCATCATATCTTACCATTTTCATCATTTCTACTCATCTTCACCATCTACATAATCACATTATCTTACCACAACGAACAACAACAGGCAGAACAAGTGAGCTTCAGTAGTCTGCTAGATGTATTAATCATCATCTCGATGGCTATGATATGGGCGATTATGCCTGGGGATGGTCTGGCCATGGTTACGCAGTGGTTCTATGATAAAGTCCTCAATGTTGGTACTTTTGTTCGTTTTTTGGATAGATTGGTGAAGTGATTGGTGAAGTGATTGGTGAAATGATTAGTTGTTGAGTTGAATGATTGATTAAATGATCAATTGAATTATCACCATCGTCACAGATCATGCTCCATCTACCGTACAGCAGGAAACTCGAGTTGGAAGCTGACGAGGTGGGTCTCAGACTCGTCGCCAAGGTTATCATTTCACCGTCCTTTCATTTTTTCATTCATTCATTCATTTGTTCATTCATTCACTAGTATATTTGTCCATTCATTCATTCACTAGTTCATTTGTCCTTTCAATCATTCACTAGTTCATTTGTCCATTCGTTCATTCATTTGTTCATCTTTTCAACAAATCTACATTAATTTGATTTTGTACATATTTTTCATCTGATCATTCGGTCTGAATGTAAATTTTATTTCTTCATTACAAAATTTACATTTACATTAAAAAAAAACTCTTCATTTGTTATATAGATACCGTAAGGTTAACAATTCACAATTAAGCAAAACTTGGTTACAATTACAAGATCACCCAATTAGAAGATCACTTAATTAGCAGATCATTGTCTACGCCATCGTGATCACCAGGCTTGTTTTGATGTGAGAGAGGCGAGTTTGATATGGCAGAAATGGTCGTTGTTGGAGCAGTTGAATGGAGATGGCAATGCGAATGATCTGCCTGCATTGCTTTCCACCCATCCGAATTTCGAGGAACGATCAGACAAGTTGGACAACCTCATGCAAGATGTTTGTTTGTTTCTTTGTCTGTGTGTTTGTTTGCTTGCTTTGTTTGTTAATTTAGCATACCTAAGTATATGTTAAGTATATATATATATATATATATATATATATATATATATATATATATAATATCACATATGGATGCTTATATTACCTTATACATAGAAGGCTCATGCAAACATATATAAAACATATATATATATATATCATATACTGCATATATAATTATATAAAGCACGTATAAAGCATATATATATATATATATAACTTCATAAGCTTATATAAATCATATATATATATATATATATATATATAGCCTATATATTGAAAAATGTAACCGGAGCGCTATGCAGATATTATTATTGTTATTATTATTATTGAACAATCAGGCAATCGACATGAGGAAGCTATGCAACTGCCCAGAATTGAAGTCAAGCAGCTCATCAAACGATTTGAAGCGTCTGAAGATGCTGGTTGATGAGAAACTGAGTAAAAATGATCGAGTTTAAAATTAATGATGAAACGTGTTCGTACGTAGCTCGCGTGAAAATATTTTTAAAATATTATTAATATAAATATTTGCAAATATTTTATGTGGAATGTTATTCAAAAAAATGAACCACGCTTTGCCCTATAAAATTCAGTATGAGACTGATTCTGGTCTCATAAAAATTCCATTTGGCGAGAGGGACCTTACGGAAGATTATACGATATTCACCGAAGACATCGTTGAATTCTGCATAGCAAGAGATCGCAGAAGCAAGGCGCAACATGCACCTAAAATAAAACTGGTTGTCATACCATGGATATAACCATATATATCCATTACCAAATATAACCATGCATACATATATATATATATAACTAAATAACTTCTTTCCAGTTAGACTAATAGGCCTGTGTGCTCCTTCCATGAAAAGTTTCTCTTAACTAAAATAACGGAAAACGTTACTTTTATCATTTTATATTAATTTATTATAGGTAATGTAATGAAAAATTTAGTGAAATTAGTAACTACGAAAACCAAAGAAGCAGGACAACGTGCCTGCCATCATGAAATGATGTAACCGAACAGTAAGTAGCCTATTTTAAAGGTGACACTGTTAATTTGCTACCTGGAAAATCATCACATTTACTTGTTTTCTGATACATTTCGCATTTGGGTAACCAAACGTAAACATCATTGTATGCCAAATACTAAAAATCCTTCTTGCTAATATAAGTTGAAAAAATTTACACATCAACATTTATATTTTTACTCTTTTTAGCGCAAAAATGTAAGGCCCGATTGAAAACCAAAAATATCGTGACTATAAATTGTGAAACAAATAATATAAAATAGGTGTCCAAGTTTAATCAGAAATTTGTATAACGTTGATAAACGACGTGCATTTACAAAATATGTCTTTCTTTTTTTCCCAATTCGTAGGTATCCTATTACAAGCTCTGTTTCAGTATTTAGATAATACAAATAATAAAATAACACATAATAATGATAATACAAATGAACGGTTTATATATTATTAAAGAAAAGATAAATTCATTTTGAATGGTAAATACAAAAATTTAAGCAAAAAAATCATGTGGGTATGCGATTTCTAAGGTATTCCAGGAGTACTGCAGTGCCCTTGGCGAGTGTAGATGCATTTGGATTGCGGAAACTGTTGCCTTCAAGTTTGAGAGACCTGAGAGAACGTGATTGGTCGAATGATTGAATGTTTGATTGGATGGCTGGTTCATTGGTGGTATAAACCATCTATGTATATTTTTGTTGGATGGCTGGTTCATTGGTGGTATAAACCATCTATGTATATTTTTGAAACCATCGTTTATAAAAAAATTACTACCATTTTAAATATTTTAAATGAAACTTAAGAAAAAAATTGTGAACAAGTGAATGAACTTTTCATTGGAATGGAAACACATGGCGAAATAAAACTTTGAAAATAATATTTAGACAATATTATGACATAATATAAAGTAATATAAAAAGAACATAAATAAGTAAGGAAAAACCAAAATTTTTTTCCGACCTGAGTTGTGTACAATTGCCAAGCGTAGGTGGAACACTACTGATGTTATTATTCTGCAAGTCGAGAACTGATAACCTAGGCAAAGATATCAAACCATCCTCCACTTGTATTTTTTCGATCTTATTATCACTCAGCATTATTATTTCTATGCTCTTGACGTTATAAAGACAGGCGGGAAAAACTGTGAATCTGAAATTAGTGGTTTGGTTTTAATTATTATTATTTTCTTGGGTAATAAATATAATTAAATTATTTTTAATAGAGAGACGGACAGACGAAAAAAAAAATGAGTAGGTGGATGGATGGATGGGTGAGTGAATAGATTGATGGATAAATAAATAAAAATGTGAATAGAATGGATGGACAGATAGATGGTTGGATGAATAAATGAATGAACGAATGGATAGATAAAAATGAATGAATGGATGAATAGATAGATGGATGGGTGGAAACCTGTTCATATTTAAGTTGATCTCTCTCAAATGAAGCAAGTTCTTTAGACTACCTGGCAGGCTGGTCAGTTGGTTACTGCTGCAAGTTTTTTCATGAAAGAAAAAATAAAACATTGATTTTTAAAATTTCTAAATCTATAATCAAGTAAATAAATATGATATTAGTGTAAAATATGACTAAATGATCAGAAAAACGAATAAAAAAAAAACAAATAGCTAAAATGAACCCAAAATTAAGAACTAAAAAATCTAATAATACAATAAAGTCACTATAAATTGCAGGCAAACCATCAAGTCCTACACATTAATTTACGACTCATGAACGTATTGTATGTTTCTAGTTGTTAATCGAATTATAACAACTTGGTGAAATGGTTAAAGTACCTGGCACCGTTGTTGCAGGGATCAGGATCGAATGCAAGAAGATCCCTTCCTAACACGAGTGATATATGGAATTCGTAATATTTGAAAATAAAATAATTTCAAAAATACAAGAACCTAAAATTCAAGAAGACCAATCTGTCCAGCTGACAAAGAGTGTCACAAACCGATGTCATCTTATTGAAACACAAATCTAACTCATTCAGTGACTTGCTCAAGTCTGCTAATCTTCAAATGATTTTAATTACTTTTTTAATTTACGAAAAAACTAATTTAATTAATATATAATTTTCTATTAATTAATTAACTAATTAATCTATAATATTAACAATACACACAAACTATTAATTTAATAATCCAATAAACGAGTACATAAACACATCATAACCGTCATTATTATAGTTAAATGCATTTTCAATATTATTTTTACCAACACAATTTTTCTAATTTTTCCCCCTTCATCATCACCACCACAATCATCATCATCTTCTTCTTCACCATCACCACCACAATCACCATTGTCGTCGGCATCATCACCACCACCACAATCATCATCTTCTTCACCATAAAAATTATCATAAAATGAAAAAAAAACAACTCAGAAAGAAAAAAAATCAACATAAATTAAGTATAAAAAATAAACTTGAAGATGAAAAAAATGAGATACTTTTGAGGAAATCCCGAAAAGTTATTTTTGGAAGCGTCAACTTGTGTCACGCCACACTTAACTGCACCCGCCACGCAGCTTTCTGGAATTTCCACAAGTTTCTTATTTCTGAATACATGAAGGACATATCTCAATCTTCTTAACGGTAACAACTCGTTCAGAAATTAAAAAAATTTTCTTTACAACTTAGTCAAAACCATGTAAGTCATCTAAATATGAATCGTCGTGTATTTTGAAAAGCCTCAATCACTCTGATTCATGTTCTTCTTTCACTATCTCTTATAGATTTCTTAACTTAGCAACTGAAAACACTTCAAAATTAATTGATAAGAGTTTAATTTCTGTGAAGAATGAAAAATTTAACATTAATTTGTTTTCACTAAAGTGTAATGGAAATTAATTTATCCAAAATATAAATATATATGTATATATAATAAAAGAATTAATCCCCATTTAAACCATCAATGTTTCAAATAAGTTTGAAACTTTGAATTTAGGTAAAAAAATTGAATAAAGAAATGTATGAACTACGAAAATGTTCAAAATTTTCGTCTTCAGGACCATGTATTCATCAAATAAATCGTCACAGGATGGCTGGCCGTCAATAATTTTGTTGGGGTTGCTTTTGTTTGTATTTTTGTTGTCATTTGTTGATGGTGACGTTGTTGATGACGTAACTGATTGTTCAGACACCAGACGATTTTTCAAAAATTTCTTAATTTCCACGGTTCCTCTCTTCGTTAAGTGATGAGGTTAGTGCGGCGAAAATGGTGTTTATTCAAGAGAAAAATTCAATTAATTTCAATTAAGGAAATAAAAAACCAATCCATCCAATATGTAATCAATCGTTCAACATCTTTCGCAATCAATCATCCAAGAAAAGTCTCAATCAATTAAATGTTTAAATATTCAATTAATCACTCAACTATACAACCAGTCATTCATTCAATCATTCAACCAACCATTTTCATTAGTTATTTATCACAATTGTTGGTAGCCAACCAACCAGCAAACCAACCTAACCTATTAATCAACCAGCCAAATCAACTGACTAACCAACCAACCAACCAACTAGCCAACCAACCAATCAACCAACCAACCAGCCAGCCAGCCAACCAACCAACTAGCCCGCTAACCACAAGAATATCTCTCCTAATCGACCTCACAGGATTGCCATCTAAATACAGAGCTTTCAAATTCACCATCAGGCCCAAAGTATTTGGTACTCTGTTTATTTATTGAATGTTCAGCAATATATTAACGTTAGAATTATCAAAAAATTGAAAAATATCGCCGTAAGATACAAGAAAAGTAGTGAGGACGTAAAAAAAAGTAGTGAGGACGTACAGAAGGAAAAAAGTAGTGAGGACGTAATAAATTTTTAAGACGGGTGGAGAAGCACTTGAAATGAATAAGCGTTAGGAATAATAAAGGAATGAATTAAGAAAAGTAGCCACTGAATGAATGCAAACATCAGGAATGAAGGACATTTTGTAAACACGATGAACCAACAATCGAATGAACAAACGTACGTAGACAGGTTGTTGTTGCTGGCGTCAAATCTTTCCAGATGCTCTAAGGAGCTGATCTCATCGGGAATGCTGGAGAGTTGGTTGTCCTTCAGGTCCAGTATCTTGAGGGAGACCAGCGACGAAAGGCGATCCACTGGAAGGGATTGCAGACTGTTCTTGCCTAAATGTAGCTCCTTTTAAAAAAAGAAATTGACAAAATAAATATATAATATTGTTGCAATGATCCATACGATAATCAACTGATCAATCAATCTTCGTTTAGCGTCCAGAGACCCAGTTCCTCGAGGTAGGACGTAATCAACTGACATTCAACATACTCCAATACGATTTAACTCAAATAATTTGTTGAACAACTGGCTTGATGCATTAAAACTTTACGAAATTATCAAATAAGTACAAAGCAATTACTGACCGGACTAACGAGCCTACAACAACGAACTACCTCAGCAAAAAATATCTAAAAAAGAACAAAAAACAACCACAACCAACAATCAATCAAAAAGCAGCAGCAGTTGCAGCCAACCTTCAACACAGTGCATCCCTTAAGATCTGGAAACTGATTGATCTGATTGAACTGGAGGTAGAGGATCTCTAGCTTATTCAACATGCCCACTGCCTCTGGCAGCCTCTCTAACTTGTTGTCTGAGGCATCAAGGATCTTTAAATCTGTTACAGTGTTTCATTATGTTGAGATTTTTTGAAAATTAATTTAAAAAAAATTATCACTCATTATATTATTAAATAAATAAACGGACGAACGAACGAACAAATGAATGAATAAACAAAAATAAATGAGTATAAGCCAACTTTTCAAACTGCCAATCTCAGAAGGCAGAGTCGCAATCTTGTTCTTCATTAAGTTGAGCCTCAGAAGTCTGGTGAGGTAGTCGACACACGCCGATAACTCAGTCAGTTCATTGGATGACAAATCCTACGAATATAAAAATAAATAAAAATTTTACACACTCACACACGCACACACACACGCACACAGACGAACTAGTTCTTCTAAATTGATGAGATAGCCAATGGAATCCTCAATGCTACTGATCTTATTCTGCTGTGCCTGCAAACTGCACAAGTTCTTCAGCTGGTACACGCATTTTGGCAGTTCACTGAACATATTCTGACTGAAAAAAATAAACCATTTAAAATAATATTTTATATTAATGAGAAAAAAAAGATTAATTAACTTTCGAGTTACTAAAAAATAACTTTTATATCAGTCCAAAAAAATTCAAGGTCTAACAAATTTATCAATAAAATAGTGACATGCAAGCAAATATCAAACGTATATCATTATACATAGATAGTAAATTATATCATCAAGAATGTATCAGTAAAACTATTGGTATTGTATCATTACACACACACACGCGCGCGCGCGCACGCACACACGCAGACAAACACACGCACGCACACACATGATAAATAATAAAGTTAATAGAAATAGTTAAGTGTGATGTATAAGAAACCTTATATTGAGTCTGTTCAGTAATGTTAACGTGGCAAGAGAGTCAGGCAGTGATGATAAGCCATTATCATGAATCTGAAAATAATATTACTGCTGCTACTACAACTACTACTACTACCACTAGTCTTACAACCACAAAGACAACTACTACTACTATTACTACCACTACAACTACTACTACCACTAGTCATACAACAACAACAACAACTACTACTCTTACTACTACTACTTCTACAACTACTACCACTACCACTACCACTACTACTACTACTACTACTACTACTACTACTACTACTACTACTAATTCTACTACTACTACTACCACCATTACTACAACAACAACTACTACTACTACCATTAATCTTACTACAACTAGCTGCAGCTGCTACTACTACTACACCCTTTAAAAATAAACTAAAATAATAAATTTAATCGAAATACAAATATTCATCATTCATAATTGAATTAAAATGACAAATTTCAATTAATAAGTACAAAAGTCCACAAATATAAAATAAAAATTCCCCTACTGACATCTAGCACAGTTAAAGCAGGCAGCAATGATATATCAATTGAAATGCTTTTCAGACAGTTTGAGGCAAGAATCAATTTTGTAAGGTCGACCTATTGAAAAAAGAACTTTCTGACCGATATAATTTTATTAATATTATCATAATAAGATATCATTTTTTTAATATTATCCTATTATGATATCATTTTATTAATATTATCATATTATGATATCATTTTATCAATATTATCCTATAATGATATCATCTTATTAATATTATCATATGATATCATTTTATTAATATTATCCTATAATGATATCATCTTATTGATATTATCATATGATATCATTTTATTAATATTATCCTATTATGATATCATTTTATTAATATTATCCTATTATGATATCATCTTAATAATATTATCATATTATGATATCATTTTATTAATGTTATCATATTATGATATCATTTCATTAATATTATCATATTATAAAATGTAATTATTATTTATTATAATGTGGGATATTGAATTGATTAAAAAATATAACATTAATAAATAAATAAATAGATACTGAATTACCAAATGTTGAATGATGAATAAAAATTATAGAATTTAGTTTAACAGGTTTTATTATATAACGGGGGAGTTTTTAAAGACAGCAAATGAAATGATTGCTAAAGAATGATGATAAAATTAACTGATCAATAGAAATGTTTAAAATAATGGAGAATATTGAAAATCTCTTTGTAGCTAACCAATGTAAAGTTATTTCATGAATTAATTATTTAGCCTACCAATCAGTCAGTCAATGAATTAATCAGTTACTAAACCAAACAGCTAACAAATCAATCCACTATCCAGCCAGTTAATTAGCCAATAAAACAAATAACCAACCATCCAACCAGCCATCCAACCAGTCATCCAACCAACCAGCCAACCAAACAGCCAAACAATCACCTGTTCCCACCATCGGTCATCTGACTTGCTGTCCAACGAAATAGACTTCCCTTCTTCTGGGATATCTAAGTTAATGTTCCAGACACATTTAGGAACTGAAACAAAGTTTATAATACTTTAAGAACTTTAAATAAAAAAATAAAATTTCAAAACATTTAATTTTTATTTCAGTTCTGAAATAACACAATACATTCATTTTATTTTTAATTTAATAATGGCAAGCACTTCATTACCTTCTCCAAGACTCCTGTTTGACAAATTTAAAACTCCTGACTTTCTGGCCTGCTTCAGAAGGGTCTGCATGACTGCATCTTTCGTTGGTGTGGGTCCAATGTGGCTGGTGCTGTTTGCTACTGATGCATTTGGTCTTGTAAGCCGGTGCTTCATGTTTGCACTTTTGTTAAATTTAGTGGAAGCCATTTCAGTTTTTTTTATCAGCAATAAATTCCTACATGGTGTGGATAATAATATTATTGATTTATTCAACTAAATTAAATAAATTAAAAATTAAATTAAAATAAAAAACATTTAAAATTTTTTAATCAAATTTTAATTTAGAAAATGATTGAATTCAAGAAAGAAAGATAGATCACCTACGAAATAAGTTGCATTTATTAATTAAACGGCAATTAAATGGTAATTAATTAAATTATTAAATTAAATTATTTTTATCATATTTTATTTTAAAAATAAAAACAATTGAATTGTTGTTATTACTCAGTCTTGAACATGACTAAGTTTACCTTTAAATTAAAAATGGTACTACACGAAATTTTGACATAGGAATTGAGCTATACAACTTAAGATTGGCCTGTACGTACATATAGAGTGATTGTGTGTCGTAATCTATTTATTATAACCAAAAAAGCACTGATGACTTAAGTGTTATTTATATTTTATTTATTATCTTTTAAGTCATGACATTTATTCTTTCTAAACAAAGTGCTGAACATACTGAACTATATAGTTAACTGAACAATTTGAGCAGAACTATATAAACTATGAAATGTATAATTCATTGGCTGAGCTAGTAAGTAACAAAATAAAAAAATATCAAGATTGCCCTGCTTTTACTCTGCTATTGTCTTTTTTATCGTTTTCTTTTCATTGTAACTTTTATTGAAAGCAAAACAGCATTTTTATCATCATGCAATTATGATGATTCGTGCATGAAAGTTGGATCACGTCATAACAGGCACTTAAAAACGTCACCACAGCAGAGGTTGGGTGGTAGGCATGAAGTAAAAAGTAAAAAAATTAACGACTTAATTAGGTTAACGTTTGGGTTTAGTGCTCTATTTCAATTCTCATGACATTACACTACAGAGCTCAGGTGGCCAAAGAGTCCGGTGTAGAAATACTGTTGTTGCTAGTCTAAAAAATTAAGGTATTTATATTGATTTGCCATATCATATTTTCCATATTAAAAATTTTATTAAATGCATGATAAGTTACGTCGTAGCACATCTATTGAGGTTGGTACAGACAGTTCCTCAAATAGCATGACTTTGAGTTATCGGAAATAGATGCTACAAACTCTTCAGGTCAATGTTCTGGTCAAGTGCCCAGTCTGTCATCTATTTATAAATTACTCAAAACAAAAAATCATTTTAAATAATCGTTCTTCATCGTTTAATTCTCATTGTGAAATATAATGAACGTTTAGTGTTAACGCAGCTTTTGCTTCCAGTAAAGTTGGAAATGGTAAGAAGACGATTGGACACTTCAAGCCTAAAATTCCATATGACACTAATATGTAATAACATTTTTGAAATACATTTCTGACAAAAAATAGAAGTATATCATTCGGATAAAATTTTCGAGATTATTTAATTGACTGTATTTAAGTAATCTGAACATTTCATTTGTGAGGTTTTTCGATATGACAGATTTAGATGGCTGATATATATTTATTTTATAAATTAATAAATTAATCATAAAATAATTTGCTTATAATATCACAAATAGATATTTATAAATTGTAATGTAATGCCAAATCTTATTATATTATTGAACATTAAAACATTATAGTTTTCTTGATTTGTGTTATAATTGTGTTGCATGTTTATAAAATAACATATGATATAGGATTTGGTAACATATTAAATTTATTTTTCCATTAGACTTGGGCAATACAAAACAATAATGAAAAGACATTCCTAATTGAATATATACTACTACAAAAAACTGGCACTTTCAATACATTACCTCCACACTTATGCAAAATAAATTATACAAACGTTAAAAGTTTGTACGAGCTTAAAATTCTGCTATATAAACATACAACTTTCATTTTTATTCAACACCGCTGGTTGAGCGTTTTCTAAATTAAAATTTCATTCAACTGCCAAATAATTCTTTCAACCTGAAATGGTGTTTCTTCAAAACGAAAATTGTGTTGGGTCTACATTTGATAAGAATTGGAAGACGTCTATTTTTTCCCCTCTGAGAGAAAAAGATAAAAGTCAGATTGAAGAAACGAAATCATTAACAGGAGAATCGGAACTACAAAAATCTGAACTGTCTCAAAAATTGGATTCTAAAATAACAGTAGGTTCAGGATGGTTTTCTGTAAAGTTTCTATTCCCATGGCAAGATGTGTTTTATGATAATGAAGGAGGAGAATCATTTATGTCACTTTTTTGTAGAGATGAGATTGGGAAAGTGAAACATCAGCCAGTCTACAGGCCTTTTTCGAAATCATATAAAGCAGTTGAAGTGAGTTTAACTAAAATTCCAATTAATTTATGTTAGTAGTTAACAATAATGACCATATATTTGTTAAATTAATAATTATTTCAAAATCTATAAAGTGAATTGAAGCAACCGAAAACATTTTTTTCAGTCCTATAAACTTTCCATTGTTCCGGAGAATCGCTGTCAAATTTTTCCTTTGTTTAAAATCAACATTTGTGAGAGTGAAGAATGTAAAATTGAGAAGTGCTTGACTTTGTGTGTCAGCTCGAACGACGAAATTGTGGTTGCAGACAGTACTGAGCCGAAGCTGAAGTTCTTCAGCAAAGAAGGTAAGAGGCTGCGAGAGATTGATCACAAGGTTCAGAAGCCCGCTCGAATTTCAACTTGTCCTCTGACGGAGAACATCGTATTGTTTTGTAATGAGCCCACATTCATGGTTACTATTGCTCAAACGTTTTTAAATTTTATTAAAAATTTGAACTTATTTCAAATTAATGGTTTAGTTGATCTGTCAATAAAATCTAAATTTTTCTAAAATTGAAATTTAATACTTGGTGAAAATGTTTTTGATCTAAACAAGATAAAGGTATTTTCGCCAATCGGAAAGCCGAGTCATGCCTTTGTGTGCAAGATTGACTCTAAAATCGTGGACATGTGCATCGACACGAAAGGTCAGTTTCTGTTGTTGACGCGCAAGAAAAATCAAGTCCTCACGTACAATGCAGTCGGGAAGCTAATCAGTTATTTTGACGTCGAAGAGGTCATGTGGGAGAGCAGGATAACTGTCAACAAACAAGGAAAAATATTCATAAGTGATGTCGTTGAGCACTGCATCCATGTAATTATTGTTTTGTTTTCGTTAAATTTTAATACTTAATTACATTATGCAGCTTATGATCCTTATAACAATCTATTTGTAATAATCACAACTAATTAAAAAAAACTAACACTTGCACAACGAAGGTGCACTCATATGATGGTCAGTACATACGAAAGATAGGAGGACTCGGGACCACCAACTATCCAGCATTCATCAAAATCGGTCTGAACAACGAGTTGATTGTCTGCAGTAACAACAGTTTCTTCAACGTCACCATATTCGACCAGAATGGAACATTTATGGGCGGTCTGGCAAGTAGCGTCGACATTGGTCAGTGTGTGGACGCCTGTCTGATAGCTGAAAGTTCCTTAGTTGTGACCACTAATGACGGATTTTTGTATTTCTTCAAACTTCCTTGCTCCGTTATGGATAAGCTAATCGCTCCAGGTAAAAAGTGCCCAAAAACGGATAAGATTTCAGAAGAGATGGAGAAAGAAGTGATAACTCTGTTGAACGATGACAACAATGAAAAATGCATCACTGAAGACAAAACTTCTCTAACAGTTGAAAAATTCTTAAATGTAAAGAAATCAAACAGTAGCGAGTCAATTGATGTTATGCATATCAGTGACGAGTCAGAGCCAGAGGAAAGCGATTTTTCTTTAATCTCATTACACAATGATTTTGCCAATAAAAATTTGTCAAACATTGCTCGACTGTGGAATGATATTTCTGGTGATGAATTAACGACGTCCCATAGAAATCTCTGGAACAGTCAGTTAGGTTATTTCAGTTCAGAGTAATGACGGTCCAAAAGTATTCTGTCACTCCTGCAATTTTAACAAGTATTGAGTAACCAGGCGTTACCAACAAACCACCACAATTAATTGAATTTTTTATCAAATTTAAAGTTATGTTTGCAACTATGCATTTATTTTATTGTAGACTGTTGCTCGTTAGCTCAAACATGTTGTGCGTATCTTCTGCGGATTGGATTGCATTTTAACTCAGAAAGTTTTTATTACAATTTAAAAATTTTTAAACACATTTTAAAACATTGAAGAATTTTATCAGATTGGTTCTTTTTAAAAACATTAAAGTATTGGCATTTTATAAGATTTGTTTTGTATCATAACTTTTAATTTAAAGATTCTTTCATTAAACATATATAAAAGATGTTTTTTTTACAGATGATAACAAATTATTGAAAATCTGATTTTTGAAAGATTAAAGTTAAGCATAAATCTTTATTAGTAAATTATGTTTGAAAATTAGGAAAATTGGTTCTTTTTAAAAACATTAAAGTATTGGCATTTTATAAGATTTGTTTTGTATCATAACTTTTAATTTAAAGATTCTTTCATTAAACATATATAAAAGATGTTTTTTTTACAGATGATAACGAATTATTGAAAATCTGATTTTTGAAAGATTAAAGTTAAGCATAAATCTTTATTAGTAAATTATGTTTGAAAATTAGGGTAAAAAATAGTAATTTATTTGTTCCTTGATAGAAAATTTGCAGCACAATTACAACTGCGCTATTTTTAACCAAACTAAGTTTGGTCTTATGACGAAGTGACCGCGTTTGAATGCATAGAGAATCTGGTACATGATGTCACATGCTTGGTGTTTGTAAATAATTATCTTAAAATTTACTTCAAATACTTACTATTTATCAATTATCATGTTTTATGCAGTTAAGTAAATATTGCATTAGCTATGAATGACACTTAGAAAATGGAAAATGATCATTATAATTAATTTATTTATCTGTCTGGTTCGATTTTATAACATTTATCTTCTATTTATGCATGGTTGAAATACGATATAAATGAACGAACTTGTTAGAAAAAGTCTAAAGAATGAAATTCATTGAATAAACAAATGAATAAATAAATAAAACTATGTCAACTTTTTTGAATTAATTTTTTCAAAAACTCAACAACAACAAAAAAACTCAGTCGATCTACTACTCTTATTTTCATCGTTTATTAAATTTAATTCATTCAAAATTTGTGCGAGATATTGCAGAAATTGGAAAATAAAAAAAATAGGTAAAATGATAATTAAGAAATCAAAAATTATTAATATCTTTGAAAATTCGTCGACCGCTACCTAAGTTTTTTTTATTGAATAAATTATGTTAAATAATAAGTGCTTGACAAGTCTCTTTAGGTGTGTTATAAAAACCTTAATTAAGAAATAATAGATAAGGTTTTGGTGGTATAGAAATTGAAATGAGGTAACGAAACGTGTCCACCGCAGTTATTATTATTAATTTAAATTAGATAATTAATTTAATTTAATTAAAAAATAAAACAAGTTATGGAATGTTGAGAAAGCAGATGTGACTACTTGTGAGTGTACTGTTGATAAGTGCAACCAAGCAATAAAAACATTTAAAATGCAATGCCACAACACAAACGACCATCTATCAGTCTTCAAGTAAAAACAAGCAAACGAGCAAAAATTACATACAATCAGGCAAACATACAAACAAACACGCACACACACTCACGCACAAACACATTGAAATTGATTCCAAAGCAACAATACCATTACAACTGTCTTGGAAGGCACCTATTCAGTGGGGATATTATATATATATATACATATATACAGAATATATATGTATATATAGAGAGAGATAGAGAGAAAGAGAATGAAAGAGAGAGAAAAAGAAAGTTAAAGTAGGAAAAAGAAAGAGAAAAAGAAAAACTTAAAAATATATAGAAATTTCTCGCGCATCATATAAAACGCCAGGTAAAATACAAAATCAATAACTACCATAGCTTAAAAAAATTGTGATGTATGTACAAAATAAGTTAAGCCAAGATGGTAACATTAAATAACATGTAGAAGTATGTAGGAATAAAATGAGTGAAGATGGTAATATGTGATGGAGAAATGATAATTTTTTCTTTTTTTAAGCTTTTTCTATTAGTCAATTTTCCTTCACCACATTTGTCATTTGGCAAAAACGTTGGATTCAACCAACGGAGTACGTACAAGACACAGCAAAATCCATTTCCACGTTATTTTCTTTGTGATTATTACAGTCCCATTGATAATGTAGTTAATAATTTAAATAATATTTAGAAATTGAATGAATAATGTTTTAATTCAGTCATTCGCACAAACGCTGTTAAATTAATAAATACATGCATGACCATAAGTTACACAATCATCTTTCAAACGATTGGTGTACGAATGGGGTGGGCAAATTACGGCGGCCCGCGAAGCTTATTTATGCGGCCCGCCAGGCCTCGTTCGCCAAAAAAAGGTCGTCGTCAGCCAGACATTATGACCAAAAAAAGCCACAAATGTTAAAAAAATTCTCCCCCGAGTAGAAAACTTTTGCTATTTACGTACATATGCGGCCTTTCAAAGGTCAAAAGGTCAATGCGACCCTCACAACAAAAAGTTTGCCCTCTCCAGGTGTACGATGATGAGCTGCGGTAATGATGAGCAGTTATAATTTTTTGCTTTTGAGCATTCTTCAGATATTAGGCCCAAATTCGTAAATACTTTAAAAAAATTAATTTAATATTTTATCAAAAAAAACAAAATATTTAAAAAAATCAGATTTTGTTAAAAAATTCATTTTTATATACTTGGCTTACTAACATTTTTCGATAGCTACCCAAAAATTAATTAAACAAAAAAATAAGATTCATCACGTTATCTTGCTCGGTGCCATTCAAATAAATCAATTTGTTTCAATTATTAATTATAACCAGGGCCGGTTATACACTAGGTATGGAGGCCCTTGGACAAGAAAGGCGGGAGTCCATGATTATTGCTTAGTCTATGGAAAAACCCAGTGTTACTGTCCTGCCCTAAATCCAGCTCTGAACATAACGATCTAATAAACTATTAAAATTACATATATATGAACAAATCATGACTTATACTTAATTAATTAATTAGGTTAAAACTATTTAGTCAATTATTTTGTTATTTTTATGAAGATGATTTAAATAAAAAATTCTTATCATCATAGAAAGGCAAGATGCATAGGTATCGCATACAGGTTCAAACCGTGATTACGTAACGAAAAAAATTAAAATGCGCAGAAATAAAATAAATACAAAAATAACTTTTACAATAATACCGATCACTAAAAACGCATTCATATAAATTATGTGTATACAGTATATATAACATTACAACAAACGTGTGTTTGCGTGTGTGTGTGTGTGCGTGTGTGTTAAGGAAACTTTCTTTGGAAAACAAGAGACAATGGCAGTTCACAATAAATAAAATTAGATTAAACTATATTGAATTGAATTTTTTTATTGTTATTAAAGTCTAGTAATTATCATTTCATCGTCTTCGTAACACGTATTATTATTATTATTATTATTATTATTATTATTAATATCATAATTGTTGGTGTGACTATAAATCACATTATTATGATTGTTTTCGCTAATATTATTATGATTATTATTATTGCTGTTGTTGTCGTTATTGTTGTTATTGATGAGGATGATGTCACCAACATTATGGCTTCTCTCGTAACTATTATTATTGTTATCATTATTATTTTTTTTTTTGTTATTGTTGTTATTGGTGTCATTAAAATCCTCTACATCATCATCAGCATTGTCGTCGCCAAGGTTATTATTATTATTATTATTATTATTATTGTTGTAGTTTGAATCGTCGGAATCATCGCGTTGGAACTTTTTCCTACTATATCTTTTACTATTATTATTGTTGTTATTATTATTATTGTTATTATTATTATACTTATTATGAATGTTACTATGGCTGAAATTTGTTTGGTATTTATTTTTCATATACCGCCTGTTGTACTCATTCGATAGCCGAGAAGATTTTTGGAAATAATCATTATCAGTAACTCCCTCTCTATCCTTATCATCAGCATCATCATCGTCACCATGTCTCTCATCATCATCATCATCATTTCTTTCATCATCGTCGTCGTCTTCATCACCATTTACTGTTTCATCGATGTTATGGTTCATATTTTTGATGTTATTATTTTTGTTGTTGTTGCTTTTATTTCTATAGTAATATTTTATATCACTACTTGGGGTGATGCTGTCAGGTCTGGGAGTGTTGTTGTTGCCATCCACACGCTCCATATCTTGAATTGATGTTTTTTTTTTGTTAATGATTCTATAATAATTTTTGTTGTTGGTGTTTTCAATTACGAGATATTCTATTATGACATTACATTCTATCAGTGTGCTATATTACATCACATTTCGTCATCATCACATTGTGTTACATACATCCTCACGCATCATCATTACAACACATCCTATGAGATTATATCATATTACGTAATGTATTGTAGCAATCACATTGCACCACTTTAAGGGCTATTAATATCAATGTATCGCAATCGCAAGTATTTTACCGGCGATACTTTTTCAGTACTGGCTTTGCTTTAAAGCTGAGTATCGAACTTAAATTCGCCGATATTTTTAAGGCAGAAAAAAGTTGATACTCAATCTTATAATTCTTTGGAACATAAACTGAATAATATATTACTATAAATGATCATTTTAATATTCAAAGTTACAGAGAGTTTACTAAATTTTAAAACTCTTATATTATTGTATTATAATTATTATTTAACAAAAACTATATCAATTTTTTTATGTCGTTATTTAAGGTACATACCATCATTATCGTATGCGTAGTAATTGTCGTATTGGCCATCATATCGGTCCCTTCGGTCAGTCGGGTGGAGGGTGGTTAGGGCAGGCTCTGGAATTTGAGGTCTGCTGCTTACCTTCATGATAATGGTGATGATGAAGAAGAAGATGATGATGACGAAGATGAAGAAGAAGAAGAAAAAGATGATGGAGATGATGAAGAATAAGAGGATGATGAAGATGAAAAAGAAAAAGCTGATGGGGATGATGATGACGAAGAAGAAGATGAAGAAGAAGAAGAAGAAGATGATGATAAAGAAGAAGATGATGATGACGAAGAAGATGATGATGATGATAAAGATGGAGAGGAGGATGAAGAGGATGACGGTGATAAGATGAAGGAGAAAGATGATGATAATGATTATGATGGTGAACCAGATGAGGTAGTAATAAATGAGAAATGATAAAAAAAATCGAATTTTTAATGAAGCCTTTAAAAACTTTTAAGGAATTTTTTCAAAAAATATGAACACTTTATTACTTTGCGTTTGTCATGTCCGCTGACCATCCTAAAAATCCATATCATCACAACATTATTAAAAATTATTATTACAAAATCATTTGCAATTAAATAATTTCCAAATAATTTATATTCACGATTTATAAATGAAATCATTCCTAGTAGAAATATTATCTTCAATTTGTGTAGAAATTTTCTTAAGTAAGTTAAAAATTAATTATAAAAGAGTTGAATTTTTTTTAAACTAGCTAATTGTTAAGAACACTCATGGTGTATAGTAGCAAATTCATTTCGCCTTTAGACCAGCCTACCTCTCTTTTTCATTGCCGAAACTACCACCTCTGAAACTTCCTCTTTCACTTCCGTTGTGGTAATCATTACCACGACCGGTGGCATCATCCTCATCTTCCTCATCCTGCCCATCAACTTTTTCGTTGTCAGTACCTTGTCTGGAAAGTGTTCGAGTCCAGAAACCACTGACTCTCTTTATTAACTTGTTCAAAATTTTAGGGCTCTGTGGGACGACGATGATGACGACGATGATGATAGTGCGATACGATAACGATGATGTTAATGATACAATGATGGTGTTAATGATACGATAAAAGAGCGATTTCAATATTCACATTAATTAATATTACTAACATTATAATAACAAATTATTAATATAATAATATTATTATTATTATTTATTATTATTGTTGTTATTATTAACGATAAGTATGTTGAAAACCAACTTTATCACTTTCTTCATCATCAATTTTGAACTGTTTGTCATTCATTATTATTATTATTATTATTATTTATGTTAATATTATTATTATTGTTATTATTGTTTACAACAACATATTAACAACATCAATGAACACTTCTACTACTACTACATCCACGACTACTACTACTACTACTACTAAAACTACTACTAATACTACTTCTACTACTACTTCTAAAACTACTACTAATACTACTTCTACTGCTACTACTACAACAACAGCTACTACTAAAACTACTACTAATACTACTTCTACTGCTACTAATAATAATGATAATAATAATAACAATAACAATAATAATAATAATAATAATAATAATAATAATAATAATAATAATAATAATAATAATGACGATGATAATGATAATGATGATGATAATAATAATGATAATGATAATGATGATGGCTTCGCTTACGATGGGTTCCAGGTTGGGATTGAAAGACAACTTGAACTGCTTCCACGCATCCACCAGCAGCATTGAGGCGTACACTTTTCCGACCGACACCTTCTTGCCAACGTACTCTAAAGGTTAAAAGGTTAAAGGTTAAAAGGTTAAAGGTCTGTTACACCCTTTCTTAGTTCAGAGGAATCAACCACAATCCACAAACAACCAATATGAATACATGTTAAACGATGCATCATACACACGAACGAAGCGGGAATATTTTGTCGTATTTGAATCCGGTCACTGCAAAACAGCAGCCGGCGACCTTAACCACTTGGCCACCAAGCCACCCTATTCTATGGAAATTACTTTTAACGATGATGTGGATGATGATGGTAATTGCGATGGTGATAATATGTGGATGAAGATTATATAGATTATTATGACGTCAGATGGTGATGACGCCAGTGATGAGTGGTTTGGAAGGATGATGGTGATGAAATTATCACCCAGATAAGCTTAGTTGTCATCATTATTATCGCTGATACATCGAATTTAATTTTGTTAATAATTGACCTTCAATAGGAGGCAGAAGTATGTCAAGGTCGGCAGGTTTGAGATCAAAGAGATCCAGCAAAATGTTGCGTAACTCCCAATCCAATTGGTCCATCACCTCAGCTGGTTAAATTAGGGCAACCAATCACGTTCAAGTAAAAAGAAGGTCATCAACTAAATGTCAACAACAATAATGATGAAAATGGTGAATACCGTATTGTGAGTTTGTTCGTGTTTACTGATTGCTTTTTTTTATCAAAAAATGTTTATATTTGTGACGTTTAACCCATACCATCATCATCATCATCACAATAACCATCATCGTCATCATAATCATAACCATCATCATTATCAAAGTCATCATCGTCATCTCAATCACCATCATCACCAACCATCTCCCATTTTGATTCCGAGTGACTCCCTGACCAGGGCAAACATGGTGGTCTTGAAGTGAACTTTGCCGAATTCATTGATGGGCATGTTCATCCGAATGAGTTTCTGGTTTGTGCGGAGGAGTGATTGTCGCGATTTGTTGGTTAATTGACTGATTTTGTCAACTTTTTGTGACGAATTGAATCGAAATAATTGCTAAAAATTTTGAAATTGTTAGTTTAAGTAATGTTTCACGTAACTAAAAATTTAATAAATCAATTATTTTCTGAAAACCATCAAATTAAATCAACAAATCAACGACTGAAAAACGGCAAATCAAAATTGAAATAAAACAACCCTTCAACCAGACAACTAACCAACTAATCAATCAACCAGCCAATCAATCAACCAGCCAACCAGCCAATCAACCAATCAACCAAACATCTAACCAAGTAAGCAACCAACCAATCAAACAAAGAACCATACAGCCAACCAACCAACCAACCAACCAACCAATCAATCAAACAGCCAGCATACCTACTAATCAGCCAATCAACCAACCAATCAATCAATCAATCAACCAATCAGTCAACAAATCAATCAATCAACCAACTAATCAATCAACTAACCCTGTAAGCAAGTTTCCAGGGACATTTTTTCCCAAACCCAACTGGAGGTTCCAACTCTTTCAAAAGTTTGTAAGCATCCGAGTATGAGATGTAGGAGCTGTCATTGCGTCAGTGTACATATGGGTATGTGAGTGTGTTTGTTTGTGTATCAGTGTGCGAGTGTGTGTGTTTGCGTGTTTCTCTGGGTTTGTTTGTGTGTGTGTGTGTTTTAACGTGGTAGTTTGTATTTAGATGTACGTTTGTAAGGTGGGAGTGTTAATGTCGTCAAAACGATATTCACCTTCTTTTGCTTCTACTTAACGTAACTAATCCTTTTATGACCATAATTTTTATTCTCCATCTTTTCTACCTTGCATTTTGTTACAGAGTCTGAGTCACGGAACAAAAAAAAATCAAAACCATAGACAAAATATTGATACCTGCAATCATACCAACATAGCACAAAAAACAAAGAATAACTAACGATGCCGTGGGGTCATATACCGCCCATCTATGTAGATACTCATCAAGGTGGTGTGGACCGAGAATTGAACTGTCCCTTGTCAGGTAGTCGAAGTTGTCCATGATGACCGCTATGAACAAGTTTAACATCTGGTGATGGGGAAGATGATGAGGATGATGAGGAAGATGAAGAAGATGATGAGGAAGATGATGAGAAAGATGAAGATGATGAAAAAGATGATGATGATGATGATGATGATGATGAAGAGGAAGATGATGATGATGATGAGGAAGAAGATGAAAATGATGAGGAAGATAATGATGATGAGAAAAAAGATGAAGATGGTAATAAAGATAAAGATGTTCACCATAAAAGCAGTGAGAAAATTAAACGAGACAAAGTATAAGATGGCGAAATCTGTGCCACATTTATTGGTGTCAGGGTCAGCCCCTGGTTCCAGGGAAGTGGGTTCACACGGCTGCCCGCTCGTCGTCGAGGACAAGATGTTGTCCCAATTATCTAAGGTTGAACATCTGTGACATGTGCGTGTTTGTGGGTGTGTGCGTGTGTGTGCGTGCCTGTGTGTGTGTGCGTGCCTGTGTTAATGTGTACGTGAGTCTTTGTGTATCTCTACTATATTTAGTTATTTAGCGTCGAACGTTTGTGGTGTGTGCGTGCTTATATGTGTGCATGTGTGTATGTGTGTGTTTGTTTGTGTATTAATGTGCACGCGAGTGTTTTAGTGTGTATCTGTCTTTATATTTTTATCACTGACGTCATCGTCATTGTTATTAACATCATCATTCTCATAAATACATCGTCATCGTCATCATCATAAACACATCACCATCATCATTGTCATCATCATTATCGTAAACACATCCTCGTTATCATCATCATCATCATCGCCGTTGCGACTAAACCTAAAGAGAAGCAGGAGCGCGTTCGGAAAGTTCTGGAAGTTTGCATGTCTACTGATTTCAGAATCTACATCGAGTTTGATCGTTCCAAGGATCTTGTGATGGAGTGATTGGATGATGAAGTGAATAAAGAAATGATGGAATGAGTGAATGAAGAGAAGAACGAATGAATGAAGAGAAGAACGAATAAATGATAGAATGATGAAGTAGAAATTAATCATTTAAATAAATTTTAGTATTAAAATTTTGTGTAAATAGGTCATTTTGTAAATAGGTCAATTCATTTTTATCGATTGGCTAACCTGCATTCCTATAACTGCGTACACGAAAAACAACAGGCCAATCAGCAGCAAGACGTATGGCAGAGCCTACGTGATTGGTTGAAAATTTGATTAGTGTTGTATTGCTAGGTATGATTGGTTGAAAATATAAATTACGTTGTATTACTATAGCGGTGGGCGAACTTTTTGCTGTGAGGGCCGCATTGAAAACTATTTTACCTTTGAAGGGCCGCATGCGTACTTAAATGGCAAATTTTTTCGACCCGGGGCAGAATTTTTTTAAGAGATGTGGCTACTTTTATTGGTCATAATTTCTGCTTAAGGACCTTTTTTTGGCGAACAAGGCTTTGGGCGGGCTGCATAAAATCATAAAATAGCTTCGCGGGCGTTAATGAATTACTTTGATGTTTTTAAATTTGCTTAGCGTGTAGTTAGGCCATCGTCAATTTTAGAATCATTATCATTACACCATACTGAATGTTATCTTTAAATTCGTTGTTATCATAAATACAAACTTCATCTTTTTCATCAATATTATTATCATAATTATCGCCACGATCACCGACACTATCATTATCATCCTCACTATCTTCATCATCGTCGTCATCATCTTCATCCTCACCTTGATAGCCTGCAGGAAGGTCCAGAGTAGCATCCTGATTGAAGTGCTCTGCTTCAGCAACTTCACGAGGCGTGCTGCTCTGAAGAGTTTCAAGAAGCCCAACGTTTTCAAGTTGCCTTCCTTTGTGGGTGAGTTTGTGTGCATTTGTTTACATTACTGTGTGTGTGTGCGTGTACGTATGTGAGTGTACGTATGTGATATGTACGTTGGTATGCATTTGTGTGTTTGTGTCGGTGAGTATAAGATTGGCTTATGCGTTTGTATGTGTATGTATGCCATGAGGTGGGGGTTTCTGTTACTGGGAATCAATTTTGTTATATACAAATATATAAAGAAAGATGCAGTTGTGCTAATTTGCGGAATTGCGCGTTGTGAGTGAGTAGCAATGCGAATTCCCTGTTTGAAAGAAATTGAGGTTTTAGGTGCAATCTAAAATTTTACGCAACAAATGTCAAAAAAATAATAATAATGAGTGTAGTTCCAAATGCTAATTTATGTAAATGTAGCACTGAATGTTATAAATGACCGTGCAACTATTTTGATCAGAACAACATTTAGAAATCGATAAAATAATTTTTATATTAGGAAAAAATCAAAAAAAAAATCTCATTTCTGTGCATACTTAATCCACATTACAGGAACTCAAAAATATTTAAAAATATCACGTGATGAAATAATTTTCTGTAAAAAATAAAATGCTAAGTGTCTTCTACTTGATATGAACGTCATAATTAGAAAATGAAATGAAAAAACGGAACAAATATAAATAAAATTAATTTAGAAAACCTTGAAATTAATAGTTTATATATACAAGACAGGCTGGCGACCTCGATGATATCTCATCTTATTTTGTATCTTCCGGGCTCAGAGTCGTTTGTTCGAATGAACGAACGACTAGTCTCGAAAGATATGAAATAAAATACGCGAAGATCCGGATCGCCATTCTATCTTTGCTTCATAATTTACACACCAATTCATTTATAACAAATAATATAAACAAAACAAATAATATAATACACAAACAAACACACAACGGTGTGAGTTGATATAATTTGCAGCGAACAAAACTAAAGCAACCGCAAGAACATCGACCATCGCCATTCCATTTCACGCCACCCTACCCCTAGTTTTGTATTAGCCGTCTTATCCTATGATGTTAGGATGAGTTTATATCGACATCATCGTTGAAAATTTTAATGTTAAATGGTTTAAATTTACAAAAGTTATTTTTTCACAGAGCCGGGTTTAAGGTAGAACAAGCAGGGCAACAGGTCAGTTGCCCACCATAAAACGGGGCCTCTACAAAAAGATGATTTAACCTTAAGCTAAAAAAAATTGCCAGCATTTTTACCATGCCGATACTGAAAATTGAAATGGTTAAAATAATTTGGGACCTCAACTAATAATATTTTTCGCATTAAACGTAATATTGGGCACGTATTTAATACTGATGATTCTGTTTAAATATGGTTAAGTGAAGAATTATTCATTGCTATAGTTATGTTGAATGAGTGCAGAATGAAGAATGAAATTGATTACTACTTAGATACTTCAGAGTGAAGTTTTGATTTGATGTTGACAGAATTTAGAGTGCCTAAACTTTCTTAGTTGTCCAGGGCTTCCAAACCCGTAATTAGGGAATATCCACTGATTTCCTTGTCCCGCAGATTCCTCACCCACAAAAACCGGCTCTGACTTTTCAGTTATTAAATCATTAAAATTATTTTTATTTAGACTGTTTTTTTAGTTGTTAGTAATTTTTATCTTTATTATTAGCAGAATAAAAGAATTTTCTAAATGTTTTAAATATTTATTTAATTTATTGAATATTTATTTATTTACTATGTTGTTATGATTGTTAATATTATTGTTAAAATAATAATAATTGTTGTTATTACTGTTATTTATATTAATATTTTCATTGTTATAATTAATAGATATATATTTATTTACTCGTCGAAATAATTAAAACAGTTATTAACGCTATTAACCCATAAAAATATGCTTAATGCTATCAATAATCATAAACAATCATTACAAATCGAAGAAGAAAAATTTAACTTAACTAATTAAACATTGATTAAGAATATTATTAATTAAACACAAACACTAAATAAACATTTAATTAATTTTATATTAGGTTTATAAAATTATTTTAATAATTAAATAATTGAACTTTTAGATGCTAAAGACCCTTCAAAAACGTTGATTTTTTTTAAAGAATTTAACCGTAATGATTTTGTTGTCGTGCTATGAATAAGAATGAGGAATCGTTTAAAAAATTATTCTTCTTTAATTTATATTATTTCAGTCAATGATCACATCACATTACTGAAAATTCTCTTTGTACGAAAGTTAATCCATATTATAGGTATTTTACAACATCAGTTAAATCTAATTTCATCTCAATTCTCAAACCTCCAAAATAACAGCCATCAAACCGCAGTTTAAAATTTAAAAATACGTTTATATAAATTCAATTTAATTTACATACAGCTCTTTATGTTTGCAATTTAGTAAGCTACCCAGCAATAACTTGTGCTGCCAATTCAAACCATAACAAAACATAAACCTCATAACACTTGTTACTGAATAAAATAAATTAATTTAAACATTGAATTAGTAAGTATGTTGACTTTCGTTCTGACGTATTAACAGTCAGCTGTATCGTAGTGACTTGTTTCAAACGCAATCTTCGCCAAAAAAATTCGAACGTATGTTAATGCGATGCTTGTACATGTACCCATACACCTACTTGCACTGTACTGTACTTTATTGTACTACATGCGTCATTATGGAAAAAAGTAATTTTTTGTTCACCCAAACGTAAATTTTATTACAACTAAGTAATTAGCACTGAACTTAATTCAACAGCTGATGTTTGCCAACAGAATTTAACAAACTCATTACAGAGCCTAGAAAATTGTTTAATTTCAAACACTGATTCATAAGAAACAACATTCAACATACACTAAACCAAAAAAAGCTATAAATCTCAAATCTTAAAAAAACTTTCCCCCGGGTCGAAAAACTTTGCCATTTAAGTACATATGCGGCCCTTCAAAGGTAAAATGGTTCTCAATGTGGCCCTCACAGTAAAAATTTTGCCTACCCCTGCACTAAGCAAACGCTCTCTTCAAAGGCAAAATGTTAAATAAATAAAAAAAATCGTTAAGCAATTTTTTTATCTTTGTTATTCCTGCGCATAATTAACTGGAAAAAGTAGCTGGAGTATAACAATAAAAAGTTCTCCATGTAGTTAAAAATTAACGTTAGATGACCTCTTAAAATAATTATTTCGAATGAATATTCAATAAATTACTAAATACAGAAATTCAAATTAATCGGTAAATAAGAACGAACCACGGTATAATAGACGGATATATCGATGATACTTCCAATCACTGTTATGAAGTCAAACACGTTCCAGGCTTGTATGAAGTAGTTCTGGTTGGTAAGTATTCAATTGCAGTAGTATTATAGTTGGTAGTAACGTTGGTTGTTGAGTATTTGAATGCAGTAACGTTATAACAGTGAAAATTTTGATCGTTTAGTGTTTGGATGTTGGAACAGGAATGTTATAATTGTATGAATTTTTATTTATTTTTTCTGTTTATTTTTTTATTTTTTGATTGTAAGTAATGCTTCAAAATTACTTTTCATTGATGAAAAATATTGAAAAATAATTTACTACGGTGTGATTCTTACTGTAGTCGATTTGATTAATTCGATGGGGATTTTTATCAAATTGATCTATAACATTAATAAAAATTAAAGTACTACTTGTAGACAACACAGAGTAAAATAATAACGATAATAATAAAATAGGAGTAATAACAATAAAATAATAACAAAATATGCCTAGCCGGACAAACCTTGAAGCCGTAGGCAAACAACTTGATGAGAAACTCGATGGTGAACGCGCAAGTAAAAAAGATGTTCAGGTAACTTAACACGTTGTCGTACCATGCCGGCTGGTTGTAGAACTGAGAGCGTGAAATTAGCACATCATTAACATTAAATTAACATAAAATTAACATAAAATTAACAGCAAATTGACATGTAGTTATGAGAAAAATAGATAATTTGCATGTAGTACTCCAGAGAGTTTTGTTATTTTACCTTCATCATGAGTGTGACGGTGTTGAGGCAGATGAGTGCCGACATGATGAAGTCAAATGGTTTTGACATGACAAACTTCCAAGCCGCTAGTCTGAAGTTCAAAATTAGTGATGCTGATTTTGAGGACAGAGATGATGATGCAAATGATGGTGATCATGTTGGTGAGGGTGACGATGAAGTAAATGCTAATGTTAATGATGATGACAATGTTGATAACGATAAAGATGATGGATGATGACGATGAGGATGATGACGATGAAGATGAGGATGATGATGACGACGATGACGATGATGACGGCACGAACCTCACTTTCCGGCTTACGTTTGGCATGTAACAGTCAATTGGTTTACTGTTGACAACAAACTCCAAACAATTTTTCTGTAATCAAACAAATACTTTCACTGTTTTAAATTAAAATTTAATATTTTTATTAAATAACAATTTCTATTCTATTTTATCTCATTTTTTATCATTTTTCTTCTTAATTTATTAAACAAAACACAATCTTAACAATTTCATTTTCTTATTTTTAGCTGGTATCAATTTTTCAGATCATTTTTTTGTAGTTAACTTATCACTAACTTGATTTTTATCGAGATTCATCTCCTCCAGATCTTTCTCACCCTGAGCTTGGAAAGTGATGACGATCAGAGCGACGAAGAGATTGACGAAAAAGAACGGGAAGACGAGGAAGTAGATGATGAAGAAGATGGCCATGATGTTATTGTTCTCCGGAACTGGACCATGATCCGGAAGGGAGCTGTCCATGGCATGCTCCAGGATTCTTGAAAAAAAACGAATACTTCATTTTTAATGGAAAAACACATAAAACGGTGAAATTATGAGATCGGTGATGTCGAAAAATACATACATGATATAAACGACCAACGTATTGATTGACATGTTATTAATAGTGATAAATTTACAAAAAACTAAGTCAAGTAGGAAAGAGTTTGTTGAAATTATGATGATAAACATGTATATATTCGTGAAGTTAATATATCAGAAATCATTTCAAAATCTTGTCATAATGTTTGGCAGACTGACTCAGGCCAGCCGGATCTGGTCTGGACGACGAACAACGTCAGGAGCGATGCACCGATGTTGTCGAAGTACAAATCATAGTGGGTCCATTCACGTGTATTTGCTTTCACGCCAGAGTCTTCGAAGACCAAATATTCCCCACTGTGTTTTGAAAAAGTTGGGCGTCAAATCAATTAACTTAAATCAAATATTGATTAATATAGTCAATCAATCAACCAAGCAACCAACTAACCAGCCAGCCAGCCAGCCAGCCAACCAACCAACCAACAAACCATCCAACCAACCAACCAAACAACCAATCAACCAACACACCAATCAATCAATCAATCAATCAATCAATCAATCAATCAATCAATCAATCAATCAATCAATCAATCAATCAATCAATCAATCAATCAATCAATCAATCAATCAATCAATCAATCAATCAATCAATCAATCAATCAATCAACCAACCAACCAATCAATCGATCATTCAATCAATTCATTAACTAACTTGCATTCCTCGGCAGTTAACTTTGAAAGGTCACTGCACCGATAGAACCTGCCCATGAACAACTGGACAGCAATGATGGCAAAGATGATTTGGAAGAGGACGTAGAGAACCATTATTACAAACACCTTTCTCACTGCCATCACCAATCCATTAAACACGGCCTGGGAGAAGAAATACGACGATGATGATTGACTAGACAACGATACGAGTAAATAATAAGTAAATGAGTGAACAAAGTATAGTGAACAAGTGAATAATGATAATAATTGGAAGGGACGATAATGTGAGACGATGATGATAAGTGAATGAGAAAATGATAAGTTTGATGACACTCGAATAATGCGTAAGAGAAGGATTATGACGGTGAAGATGATGCAAATGATGGTTATTAATATAGTGATATGACACTGATATATATCAGATAACGATGATTGATATATATCAGATAATGATGATTGATATATATCAGATAATGATGATTGATATATATCAGATAACGATGGTAATGACCGAAAGATAGTAAATCAAATGACCTTCAACTTGGCAATTCTATTTATAGTTTTCAGAGGTCGAAGAACACGGAGCACACGCAGAGATTTGATAGTTCCTAGGTTTACGTTCGAGTCACTGGCGGTAATAATATTATTTTGTTGTTGTTATTATTATTATTATTATTGTTGTTGTTGTTGTTGTTTTTAATATTACTATTAATGAAAACTATTATATTTATTAATTCTATTATAACAGATCTTCAAAGGTATCAGCTACAACATCACAGGCAGCACGTGAATACGTGTAAATCTGCACACACAAACACACACATACACACACACACAAACAAACATACACACACACACACAAACATACACACAAACATACACACACAAACGCACACTGCATTTGTATTTTATAGACCGAAATCTCTACGCATATGACAAAATTTTTTTCGAAAACGCCAACAAACAACACAACGCAACTGATGACGACAGTAACACAACGCCAACATGACGTCATCCTTTATCACATCAAAAAGTAATAAAAAAAACACCAACATCAACACCAACATCAACACCAACATCAACACCAACATCAACACCAACATCAACACCAACTTCAACATCAACAAATATCTCAAACTAACGCAAAGGCGATATCTGATATGGCACAAACGACGATGAAGAGATCGAGAATGTTCCACATGTCTCTACAGTAGGCCCCTTTGTGCAAGACCAACCCCTTGTCAAGAATCTTAGAGGTTAAGGTCGTTGGGTAATTAAAATTTTTTATATTATAATAACTTATAATTTTATTGAAATTTTAACTTTTTTTATGATTGTGCATTTCATTTGAGAAGCTCGGTTTATAAAGCGCTATATAAATAGTCATATAATTATAATTATTAATTATAATGAATAATTATGACGTGGGTGCAATGCTGGATAGGAGCGTCGAACTCGCGAATTTGTTTCAATCGAAAACCATGCCCATTATTCAATTACAGTCGGACCTTCCTATAGCGAATTTGATGGTTCCAAGAAAAAACTTCGTTATATAGAAGTTTTTGTTGTATAGAAGTTTGCTATAAGAAGGTTAGACTGAATTGGTTTATAAATCTTAACAATAATTGCAAAACAAAAACCTTCAGAGAGGCCTCAACAGTGAAGATGGCAGTGAAGGAGTAGTCGATGACGTAGAGGATGTCGTTGAAGTGGGACTTGTAGCTCACGGGGTCCTCCATGGCAAGCTGGATGCAGCTAAACAGGATAATCACCATGATGAAGTAGTCGAAGTACTTCATGGTGGCAAAAAAGTGGGCAAACTTTCTGATTCTTTGTGGATTGGTGTGGGAGCAGTGTAAATAGTAGATAGCAGATTCGTTTTAGTGAATTTGGGTGGCAACATGGTGTAAAATCTGTCTATTTTGGACTTTGTAAATTCGTTAGTTTATGCAGATATTGCAAAATTAATTAAATGAAGCTGTCATAAAATGAAGAAAAATTTGCAAATGTAAATTAAATATTTCCCAATACAGAAAACACAACAGCATGAAAAAAGTATTGCATCATTACACGCATTAGAAGAATTATTACAAACTCATTATAATTTACACAAAAATTTAGTCGATAAAGATTACATAAATGATAAGTAGGTACTCGAAATAACATTCAATGGCGTAGGGGGCTATAAAAAGACCCAGGCAAGTCCCACACCTGCCCCTTTAGATAAAATTTTTATATTTTGGAGCTCTTAAAAAAAAACTATTTTTCAAGTTCTAAAGTAGTCTATATATTGGCTATCATTGATTGCACTTACACTTAAATTTAATTAACAACTGTAACTTATTATTATCAGTGCGCTTCATTTTGGTTAACGAGATCACAAATAGATCGCTTAATTATATTTTTAACCACCTAACTGTTCGTTGTTAAAAAATTTCAGTTAAAACGTACGATACAGAAAATTTTACATAGATTACTTAAAAATTCGCCCTCCTAAAATAGCACCTATGGGACTGCCAAAGGCTTACCGGCTAGCCCCTCTTTTGCCAGGCCACTGACCACCGGACAACTAACGGGTTTGTTGAAGAAAAGATGAAGAGAGAGGTATATGGAAGGATGGGTTTGACAGCATAGATGTCCTCCTCATCTTCCTCCTCTTCCACTCTGCTCCCCTCCTTGGCGCCACTCGCCCTACTGCCGTGTCTACTGGACTTTTTTGCCGATACTCGGCTGTTTACTGAAACTGTTGTTGTTGTTGTTGTTGATGTTGTTGTTGATGTTGTTGTTGATGTTGTTGTTGGTGCTGCTGTTCATGTTGTTGTTGATGTTGATGTTAATGTTGTTGTTGTTAATGTTGCTGTAGTTGTTGTTGATGCTGTTGTTGTTAATGTTGCTGTAGTTGTTATTGTTGTTGATGCTGTTGTTGTTAATGTTGTTGTTGATGTTGTTGTTGATGTTGTTGTTGATGATGACGTAGTTGTTGTTGATGCTGTTAAAATTTTTGTTGTTATAGTTGTTGTTATTCATTATAAAAGTTATTATTATTATTTTTATTATCATTATTAGTATTACCACTAATTGCAGTAGTAACAGTAGCAGCAGTAGTGGCAATAAAATTTTTTTACATTTTGCGGCTAATAACACACTTACCTTTTTACAAACAATGATAACAATAGTTACAAATAATAATACAAAAATAATAATAATTACAATAATAATATATAAATTATAGAATAATTATAAAAATAACTATAAAATAATAAAGTATAGTATCAGTGGCTTCTGCAAGTTGTTTGTTTACGGTTTCAAGGTTTTTCCAGCAATTACTGCTGCTGTTACTATTACTTAATATATTACATAAATAGTAATTACATTCATGAGTCAGTGGTGAGGCCGCTGGCATGTCGACACGTGTGGCTTTTGTGGTTGTCGTCATGCCGGCCAGTTCGTCCAACACGCTAAATGCTTTGTTCGTGCGGCCCAGGTTTTCGCTGCCGATGAGATTGTTGTGGTAATGATGGTAGCGATGATGGCGATGATTGTGATTATTATTATTATTATTATTTATTATTATTATTATTTTGTAAATAATTATTATCAAGACATAAAATTGTAATCCCTTTTTAAATTCTAACAACAATTCGTGTAACTAGAATTTTAAAATATATATCCATCACTACTATCATCGTAATCACATCATCGTCAGAGCCATCGTCATCATTACGTCATCATAATCATTACCACCACTGTCAACAACAACATCATCATCATCCTTACATCAAAAACGTCATCATTAACATCATCATCACAACCATCAAAAACATCATCATCAACAACAACAACATCATGACGTCATCATGAACCACAACATCGTCATCACCATCATTATCACTTTTGGTTTTCAAGAATCCTGGCAGTTCCAACGATTTCTACATTGGGAGGTATGCTCACAATAACAACACTCTCCCTTCTATCATTATCTTCCTCTTCGTCATCATGATTCTCTCCCTCATTGTTTAGAGAGGGGATGTCGTCAGGATCTATTGACGACTTCCGTCTCTGAAAGGTGATGATAACGATGACGATGATGAAGAAGAAGATGATGATGATGATGATGGAGATGATAACGATGATGAAGAAGAAGATAATGATAATGATGATGAAGATGATTTGGATAATGTTGAAGATGATGATGATGATTTTGTACAGACGATGGTCATGATTATGGTACTGATGACGATAGTGAATAAATGATGAAAAAATATTTTTTTCATGATAATGCTTGCGGTTTTGATTATGATAATGATGGAAATAACGATAATAATAATAATAATAATGAGAATAATAGTAATAATAATGCTGATAATGATCTAAACAATCATCATCGTCATCATCATCCCGACTTGTTCTTCAGCGTTCTCCATGGAGGTCAGTTCGTCCGCTTTAGCCAAGTTGTCTACAGCGATGGCGAGAAAAACGTTTAATAATGTGTCTGTAATCAAATTAATTTATTAATTAATTAATTAATTAATAATTTAATTAATTTGTTTGTTCATTCGTTTATTTATTCATTCATTCCACACATACATACTCGTACACGTACACACCCATACAGACACACCGGCATACACAGCCACACGCATAAATTAATAAATTAGATAATTAATTTATAATGATAATTTTATAAAATTATTAATTAATTAATTAACTAGAAATAATAATTTGATAACAATAATTAATAAATTAGTTAATAATTATTAATTACTTAAAGAATGTTGTCGTTTCTCTTTTAATTAATTCTCAAAAGTATCATTATATATGATGGGCGGGTGTCTTTGTGCATTCCAAACATCCATCCATCCATCCATCCATCCATCCATCCATCCATCCATCCATCCATCCATCCATCCATTCATCCATCCATCCATCTGTCCATCCATTCATCCATCCTTCCTTTCTTTTATCTATCTATCTATTCATCAATTCATCCATCCATCAAATCATTCATCCATCTATCCACCCATTCATCAATTCATCCATCCATCAAATCATTCATCCATCTATCCATCCATTTATCAATTCATCCATCCATCAAATCATTCATCCATTCATCCATCCATCCATTTACCAGTTCATATATCCATCCATCCATCTATCCCTCCATTTATTCATCCATCCATCCATTTAAAGAATAATGAACTAACAGCTGCCGAGAATCATAAGGACAAGAAAGTACAGACTGGCCAGTACACCTGAGGTCTTGAAACCACCCTGGCACCTCATACCGTTGTACATCACCTTGTTCCAATCTTCCCCCGTTAGGATCTGTGTGTGTGTGCGTGTGTGTTGTGTACGTGTGTGTTGTATGTGTGTTGTGCGTGTGTGTTGTGTGCGTGTGTTGTGCGTGTGTGTGTGAGTGTAAAAATTTTAACAATATGGGGGCCGACTTGAAAGACGGTAAGCAGAGCGCTTGAGAATGTGTCAAAATTTGCTTTGGGTCTACCCTCGTCAAAGTTGAATCTGAAGTAAATTGTTAAGCAACATTTATCAAAACTTCTTCTTCATCATCATCATCATCAGCTTCGTCTCCATTATCATCCTAACATCTTCTTCAACATAACATCTTCTTTATCATAACATCTTCATCATCCTCACTATTATTATTAAAAACTTACCTCCCACCAAAATATTGCATGCCAAGAAGAGCGAAAATGACCATGAAGAGAAAGAGGAGAAAGAGAAGGGACATGATGCTCTTGATGCTGTTGATCAGTGACAGACTGAGATTCCTCAAGGCTCGCCAGTATCTTTTGTTAGTTTATTGGTTTGTTTGTCTTACTGTCTGTCTGTTTGTGTGCATGTGTTTGTTTTTTTTGACCATCTGTCCGTCTGTTTTGTGTCTGGCTGTCTGTTTGTCCGTCCGTCTATTCGTTTGTTTGTGTTTTTTGATTTGTTTGTTTGTCTTTGTCTGTATTAATTAGTTTGTTTGTTTGTTTGTGGTCTGCTTGTGTGTTTGTTTTGTTTGTGTTTGTCAAATTCGTTCGTTTGTAATTTTGTTTTGTTTTTGTTAATTCCGCTCGTTTGCGTGTTTGTTTTGCTTGTATGTTTTTTTTTATGTTTGCCTATTTGTTTGTGGTTTGTTTTCAATTCTAAAATAATGATGACGACGAGGGTGTATGTAGGAGTATTAGAAAATGATGGAGAACGATGATGACGCTTTCTTTGGCATGTTGATGTTTGTGATTGAAATCGAATCTTGGTAACTTTGGATACTAAAAATAGATTACCTGGTAATTTTGGATTCTAAAAATAGATAACCTGGTAATTTTGGATTCTAAAAATAGATAACCTGGTAATTTTGGATTCTAAAAATAGATAACCTGGTAATTTTGGATTCTAAAAATAGATAACCTGGTAATTTGGGATACTAAAAATAGATTAATTTTGGATACTAAAAATAGATTAATTTTGGATACTAAAAATAGATTACCTGGTAATTTTGAATATTCTCAAAAGTCTGGTGGCTCTCAAGCTGGAAAAGCCGAACGACAAATTTTCATAAATCATCTGCAAGACGACTTCTATGGTCGACGCGATCAAAACCTGGATGAGTTTGTTTGCCATTTTAAAAATAATTTCAAGTAATTATAATGAAATATAATTTATTTTATAACTTATAATGATCGTCGTCATAATCATCATCATAGTCGTTGTCGTCATCATCGTCATCATTATGCCATCATCATCATCACCATCATCGTCGTCGTCGTCATCATCATCTGGGTCATCATAATCGTTATTATCATTTTTGTCTTTAATCATCATCATCGTCATTTCATCATCATCATCACCGATGACCATGATAACGATGATGATAATAATGATGATGATAACGACGACAATGATGGTGGTGAGGATGACAACCATGATGATGACGATGACGATGACCGTAATGATGATGATGATGGAAGTGATAGCGTAAAAGAAATTTTCAAAAAATAAGTGATGCAAAACCAACAAAAAAGTCAAATTTGTTGAACATAGAGGCGAAATAAGTCCTCAAGCCAAGCGCATACATCTTCAGAAACATCTCGAATAGGAATGTGGCCAGGAAGACATATTCGGAATAAGCTGGATGTGATTGGATGGACGTGACGATGACGTAATTATGACGTAATAATATGATGCAATTACTTTGATCATGATGATTTGACTTGACGATGATGTGATAATTATATGACGGTGTAATAAATAGGAGAATAATGATGATCATAAAATAATTATATTAATAATAACAAAAAAATTATTTCATCTATGAAATCTCACTAAGCAAGTCGTTCAGCCATGCTGGTTCGTGGTGATGTTCAGCGGATATGAGGGCGGTGTTTACAAACACTAGCCCAATCACCAGCCAATAGAAAGCCTGGCTTTTTATAACCTTCTTAATCTTCAATCTGATTGGTTGAATTAATCAGATGCTATATATCTTTTTATGTCTATGTTATACTGATATTATTCAATCAAATAATCATAATAATCACGACTAATCACTGATATAATTTATATTATAATTAACCGAAAATAATTTAAATTTCCATTAAAGAAGCCAGAGCAATTTTTGATTGGTTGAGTAAGTATGAGGCTATTTTTTAGTTACAAATACATTATTAAATCAAATCACCACTATTTGCATTGGATAATGATTGAATTAACATAATTTATGTAATCATTAGCTCCAATTTTAATATTTAATATTAATTTTAATAATGAAACCTGAAAAGTCTTTGTTTCCTCCATACTTTTTGAAAACAGTTTGTCGCCCTGGTTGCTCTAATTTTATCTGGTTGGAGTCATTTGGTTGGTTGATTGGTTAAGTGGTTAATTGATTGATAAGTTAATTAGTGATTAGTTGATTGGTTGGTTGTCCAGTTAATTAGTTGATTGATTAATTAATTAGATATTTGACCTCGTCATTTTAGTGACGTCTAATATCAGTGAAACATCACATCACTTTATTATTTCATTTGAGACATTTGTTCTTTTCCTATAAAAATTAAACTATTGTTGTTATTGTTGTTGTATTATTATTATTAAAATTATTATATTATTACTGTTTTTGTTGTTATTTATATTATTGCTATTATTATTATCGTTGTTGTTGTTGTTATTTAATTTATATTATTATTATTATTATTATTATTATTATTATTGCATTGTGGCAATCATTGACATTTTATTACATTTTATTACATTATTGTGACATTTCATTATTTTATTTTCATACATATTTATTGTCTTTGCTTTGAAATAAAAAAGTTCTCATTATTACCTTCCTCTTCTTTCGTCATTATCTTTCGGTCATCTGCTCCCTTAAGTCTCACAAACGTTGAAGTACGACGCGCTGTGTTGATGATGATTATGATGATGATGACGACGATGATGATGATTAGGATGATGATGATGATGTGATGAAGATGGTGGTATTGATGTGATGATGAAAATGGTGGTATTGATGTGATGATGATGAAGAAGATGGCGGTATTGATGTGATGATGATGGTAGTAATGATGTAATGAAGATGGTGGTATTGATGTGATGATGATGATGGTGGTATTGATGTGATGATGATGATGGGAATAACTACAATTGAGCAAATCGTAATTAAAATATTTCTATTGTTAAGTAATCAATATTTTATATTAATAAAAAAAATATTTTGAAAGTTCATAGAGTCTATGATATAGACAGACTGCTGAAATTCAAATCAACTTTAACAAACCTTCCAGTATTCTTAACCTCTCTTCGCTTGTTGTTGATCCTTCGTTCAAAATCATTTCCTCTGATAAATAAAACATTAAACTTAATATTATTTATTTATTCTTTATTTTTGTATTCTAATTATACCTAAAATTATAATTTGCGTCGAAATTTGTGGTTATTGCTGTATTTTTGGATGTATTTTATTGTTATTTATATTCAATAATTGATATTCATAAATGTTGATTTCATGAAAATTGTATGAGAATCTAAAAAATATTATTTGGAGTTGATTGCAAAAAGTTTTTAACAAAATTGCAGCATAACCCGGAATAAATTTTGAAATTTAAAAAAAATTAACCCGGAATATTACCAGAGGCCATATTTATTATTTAGCAAAACAATTTGTAATAAACTGAAAAATTATTGCAATTTTTTTCAGAATTTCATAACAAAATACTCGGAGACAAATTGTTGAAAATTTACAATAAATAATCCGAATTTTTATCTAAAGAGCTAAAACAAAATTGTAAGTGAGAACATTTCGGGCCCTAACCGGCCCTACAAATCCAATCCATGTAATTCTCGAGAATCTCGTCAAGCACTTTCTGCTTCTTCAACTTCAGAAAATCCTTTCTGTTCTCTACCCTCTGCCTCTCATTGGCAAATTCACTTTCAGAAAGTTTTCACAAAATATTTAACGGAATAAATAAATAAATTAAATAAAAATAAATTATATTTTTTCTAAATGTTTTCAAGTCGAAGTATTCCTAAAGGAAAAACTGACATTTCATTAAATCATTGAGAAAACATTATATTCTCTTCGTGCTTCAGTTTGTTGAATTAGCAAGGTTGAATCTTTAAAATGATTTTAAGTTCTTCAATTGTTTGTTTTACGTACTTTTAAATATTCAAACAATCAATCAATCGACCCAACTAACCATTCAACTAACTTACTAAACAGCCAACCAACCAATCAGCTAATCACTTCACCAACCAACCAGTCAACCTACCAGTCAACCAACCAATCAACCAGCCAACAAATCAACCAACCAACCAGCTAAGAACACCAAGCACGAGGTTGAGCATGAACAAGGCGCCGAAGATGATGATGGGAACAAAGTACAACCAATTAAACAAGCGACCCACAGCATCGTCCAACTGATAATAATGATAATTATAACAACAACAACAACAACAATAATAATAATAATAATAATAAAGATTATGGGGACGATGATAATGAGATTATGATGACAATGCTGTAGTCACGACAATGTTGATGAACATGGTGATAATGTGGTTATGATGAATGCGCGTTCATTAACGTGAGGATGATGAAGATGATGATGAAGATGATGTAATGAAGTGTTTATCCGTCTGATGATGTTTATCTATCTATTCATTCTTGTTTGCCTAGTTTGCCTGTTTCGTTACTTGTTTGTCTACTTTTTTTTTCATGTTTCTTTAAATGTTCATTTACATGTTTTTGTTACCCTAAATGTTTGTTTACATGTTTGTTCACAAGTTTGTTCATCCTACATGTTTGTTCACTCTACAAGTTTGTTCAGCTTGTTCTCAAATAAGGCAACTAAAATATAACGACCAATAAAAAGACATTCGCTACATACAAGCAAGGACAAGCAAAGGCAAACACATCACACAACAACACAATACACAAACTATCCACATAAGAAAGTATGTTATATACGCATACACACACACAACACACACACACACACACACACACACACATACATACACACATACACACAAATACACACACACACACACACACACACACATACTTATATATTTATATTTTTTTACAATATTCTATAAATTCTACCGAATTTTTGGCGTTAATATGTTTGTATGTCGTTCTACTCGAAGTTCTGCGACCAACCGACGTAATCTAACAACCGAGCAAGATCGCAAGCAGCGACTGCTCCTTTTCTCTCGAGAATTAGAAGTGAAAAGGAATGTAGTTCAAAAAAACGAACGAAAAATATATTAACGCCAAACATTCGGTAGAATTTATAGAATATTGTAAAAATTATGGCCTATTACCAACATATTTATATATATATATATATATATATATATATATATATATATATATTTTTACAATATTCTATAAATTCTACCGAATGTTTGGCGTTAATATGTTTGTAGTTCGTTTTTTCGATTTTTCTCACTAAAGTTTTTTGGTGAACGTTTAATTTATTAAAATTCAAAATAAACTTATTTTTCGAATTCATGCTGCAAATAAGGCCAAATTTCGATTCCGAATGAATCATCGTCAGTGCTCCTTGTTGTATATATAGGGAAATATTGACTTTGTCAAGATAAACTTTGACGTTGTAAAAATTAACTTTGGTGTTGTAAAATTGAACTTTGATGCGAATTAGGTGTCAGGTTTCTTAATTGGCTGGTCATCTTCTTTGGTCTCCTTTTCTTCATCGATAGCATCATATTCTTCTTTGTCACTATTTACGATGCTAGTAAGTGTATGTGTGTGTGTGAGTGTATGTGTGTGTGAGTGTATGTGTGTATGTTACGATTTACGATATATATATATATATATTTAATGTTATATACATGTTAAAGATTTTTAGGTTCTTATATAAAAGGTAAGTAGTTAATCTTAATAAGACAGGTGTTTCAATCGTTAAGGGCAAGGCAGTCTAACTCGCATCTCATCTCAACTCAACTTGTTTTGATGTTATGCTAACCTACGTAAGAAGATGTACACTCACACACACACACACACACACATACACTCACACACACACATACACTCACATATACGCATACACTCACACAAGCACACACATACACGCACGCACACACATACATAGACAAACAAATGAACGCACGGGAATTAATACACAAACACATACACGGCTAATTTGAAAGGAAAGTTGTTGTAATAAATAATTTATCTGTTCTAATTTCAACTTGTAACACATGTGCACTAACTAAATATAAGTTTAAAAGTGGTTAAGTTATCGATTGCAACATCGTAACAAGAAAATAAAAAAAACACGTAAACACAAATACAGCCACACAAAACACATATACACTGCGTACACACATACAATCCACACAACACACATACAATCCACCACAACACACACGTAACTCCCACACAACACACACGTAACTCCCACACAACACATACAACGTACGTAATACATGTTGAGAGTCCATCCAGCCATGGTCAAAACCACGAAAACGGTAAGGATGGAAGCGTAGATGTTATCAAAGTTGCACAAGCCGGAAAAGGGTCCTTCCCACCATTCTCTACATTCGTAACCCACCGGGCACGTGTAACCGCCCCCAATTATGGAGCTTGAAACTGTAGCGTTTGGATTGGTTAGAATAGAGGTGAAGGCACACGCCACAGGTTCCTCATTCTCTTCGTAAACGACTTCTCCTGCGTTCAAGATATCATGTCAATGTCGTGATTTCTAATTAATATTATTCACAATAAAAATTAGAATAAAATTGTAATATGCAGACTTTAAAAATCTCAAAAGACATCTCGGAATGCCCAACTTTTTTCGTCCTTATAGCAGCTCTTGTGGAGAACTCCGCAATAGAACTCCAGGCCGATTATGGCGAAGATGACAACGGCAAAGAGGACGAGGAAGCCAATCTGTAGCAGCGGTTTCATGGCGTAGATGATGGATTTCAAGACCACCTGCAGGCCTGTCGAATTATGTAACATTTTTTTTCAAATTTCTGCAACACACACCGAGAATTCCACGCTTCAAAGAAGAGAGAAGGTCAGCATTTTTTGCGACACTTTCAACTTTTCACTTTCTAGCAATCATGAAGTGCTTAAACATTTTTACAAAAACTTTAAAAGTTTATAAAATTGTATAATAAATACATATTTGGTATAGAACGCATTTATGAAATCTGATTCTATGGTGTTTTTTGCTTTTTGTTTTAACGATCAAGTTACGTTCCTGTTCATTTAGGTTAATCTATAAATGAGGTAGATGAGTTTTATTAGTCGCATCTTAGTCGTGATTGAAGCAACTAAATGCTAACTTTCAAGAGGTGGGGTCATACGATTTTGGCGGATGAAAATTGGGAGTGGTTTAAATTTTTGACAGTTTGTGGCAGGTAGGAGTAGAAAAAAGCACAAAAAAGCGTGACATCCTCTACGGATAACTCAAAATATATTTGAGACTAGCAATCATGAAGTGCTTAAACATTTTTACAAAAACTTTAAAAATTTATAAAATTGTATAATAAATACATATTTGGTATAGAACGCATTTATGAAATCTGATTCTATGGTGTTTTTTGCTTTTTATTTTAACGATCAAGTTACGTTCCTGTTCATTTAGGTTAATCTATAAATGAGGTAGATGAGTTTTATTAGTCGCATCTTAGTCGTGACTGAAGCAACTAAATGCTAACTTTCAAGAGGTGGGGTCATACGATTTTGGCGGATGAAAATTGGGAGTGGTTTAAATTTTTGACAGTTTGTGGCAGGTAGGAGTAGAAAAAAGCACAAAAAAGCGTGACATCCTCTACGGATAACTCAAAATATATTATAAAAAAACATAAAAATATTGAAACTGTCAAAAAAGCATGCACATACTTTCAAACCCTGTAACTATTTTGATTGGTCTAAGAACCCTAAGTGACCTTATACCTGGTTGGTTGAATAAGCTGTTCAATTGGGCCAATAAGCTGCGTGGAGGACATTAATAAATTATGTTAATTTATTATTATACTAATAAAAACATTATAAAAAATTAAACATTTTGTATGCACGTGCAAGCACCGCATCATACGCGTATGATAATCTTTGAGTTTCGGACAGACGTTATTCGAACGAGGCCGACGCGTAGCAACATCGCCTGAAATGGCACTTCTACCGACTGAACTAATCCGCCGACCAATTGATAATGATGACGAAAATGGTGATTACCCAGCAGTAACGATGATAAAGTCTAGAATGTTCCAGAGACTCCGAAGGTAGGAATCCGTGTGGAGGATCAACCCGTGAGCAATGATCTTAAGGACAGCTTCAGCCGTGAAGATTATCAAAAAGTATGGGTTGGCGTATTCCTTGTGAAGGTGATGATGATGAGAATGATGACGATGATGAGGGCGATGATGACGAGACAGATGGCGATGTTGATATGAGGATGGAAAGAGGATGAAAATGATGATGATAGCCATGTTTGTAATAAGAAAACTAACTACAAATTACAAATTTAATGATGCTAGTGATAAATTGCTGATAATTAATTATTAATAAAAAAAAATTATTAAATAGTAATTATGATGATGACCAAAATTGAATATGTCCTCATTAAAATCACCAGCGTTTTAAAATTAGGAACAAGTTAAAGATGATGAAAATGACGAAGATGATGATGATGACGACGATGATAATGATATGGGAAAGATGATAGCTATGATGATGGTGATGATAATGACATGATGATGGTGGTGAACGTTTCAATGATAATGTTTCCGTTGTGTTATTGATATTTCGTAAAACAGTTGTTGAGTTTGTGTTGATGATTTAAATGTAATTAGCATATATGACCTCATGTCATCATCATCATCGTTAGTTATTTCTCATCCTCTTGTAATCATCATCACCATCATCATCATGGTCATCATCACCATCACCATAGTCATCATAATCATCATCATCGGTTTACCGTCATTATCATCAACAACGTATTTATTTCATCTTCTTCATCATATTGTTATCAACGTTATCATCATTATCGATATATCGTCATCTTCAAAACACAACACTTGAACAAACACAATTACACACACTGGAATAAACTAACCATATGAAAGTAAACTAAACATACAAAATGGTCGCAAAAAATTATTTTGACAAATAACATAATAAGTATTAATTAACAAATTTAGAACATTATTTTCATTTTACGAATCACCACTAAGACTAACCAATTTCAGTGACATGTCGGTTCTATCTGAATCGGGGAGGTACTCATCTAAGGCTAGGACCAGACAATTTGCTACAATGGCCAACAAAATGAAGTACTCAAAAAATCTGGTGGGGTAATCGGATGAGGATTTAGTAGGTTGGATAGCTGAGTGGTAGGATAGTTGGATGCTGGAGTAGTGAATTTGGGGTGATTGGGCAATGGTTTAGAGTTGCAATGAGTTTGAATTTTGGCAAAACGTTTTAGGCTAATGAAATGAAAAGAATTATTAACATAATTTTTAAACATAATTTAAATTGATTTTAAATATATATATATATATATATATATATATTCATTTTTAAATGTTTCATTCAGAATATAAAACTAAATGTTTACTGGAAAGTATTCTTTTTATAATTTTACTAACAAATGTTTGGATAGTAGACTTGATTTCAAAATAAATACTCAAAGAAACACTCTCACTGATCTAATTTGTATTAGACATCAAATTTGCAATTTCAAAAATAACATTTCAAAATTTATTCAGTTACTTTTAAATTAATAAAGGTACCCACAACTTCAACATTCGGTATCGATCGGCGTGATGTTTTAAATCAGAAAATCTCAAAATTCGCACGAGCGCATATATATTGCTAATAAATAGATCAGGAAGATTATTATCTATTAATTATGTCAAAATTCTACTTGTTATGAACTAGAAAGAGGCAAAATCTTCTTAGGATGTTCGTCTCACTGAAGATAAAGAGTGAACGAGTCGTCGATTTATCGAAACAGGGAAACGTGATATTGGCGCAGAATTTGATCAACTTTTTCTTCCAGGACATCGGGACTTCCTTCTTCAACTGGACCGTATCCATCGTTGGCCAATTGATGCTAGATCGAGATTTCCGTCTTTCTTCCGGATCGGGTCCGAAAATAACGCTCCCCTTCCTGCCAGGAACTCCTGTGGTGGAGTTCGGAAAATCTCTATCGTCATTTCGGTCGATGAAGATGCTACTCTTTCGCCCTTTAAATTTTTTTGGGGTTTTTTATATGTTACCAAAAAAAATTTAAATTTATAAATAAAATAACAACAATTTATTTGAAAAAATAATTGAAATAAAAAGTAACTCTATAATTTTATATAAAAAAAGTTTGAAAATATTAATATACTTAAGAAGATACTCGGTTAACTTGCTGAAAATATAAATGCATCAATGAATTTGTTAGAAAAATCTGAAAATTTTAAATATTTTCTTTATATTGAAAGGTAAAAAATGTGAAAAATAAAAAGCAAAAATCAATGTGTAGAATTGTGTTGAAGTGAGCCACCCTCATTAACATAACATTGATCGCATTTAATAATGTTGATCCATTGTGCAGGCACTACAACTACTACCCCTGCGCATCTATCTATATTATTATTGTTATTATTGTTAGTATTATTAATATTATTATCATTAAAGTTATAAAATTATAGTTATATAATTTTAAACTAATCGATTTCGACGTGGCCTGATGCAATGCAGTCGGAATGAGTTTGAAGGCAAACATTTAGCCTGCGTTATGGGAATGGGGATCGGTATTTCAATATCTCCAACAATCCCTTCACTCAAATGCCCATTGGCAATCACTGATTATTTCAGTAAAATGTATGTATGATTCAAAAGCAAACAACACAAGGGCCAAAAATCAACTGCTCAATAAACTCAAAACCTTACAATCAGTCATCAATGATCTAGACACGAAAGTTCGATGGAGTTGCAAGTCCCAAGAAAGTACGTGCTATCTCGGTTAAATTTCGACCTTTTGTATACATATAAAATATAGCGCTGACTTTGATTGGTAATAATAGTAATATTAACTGCTAAACTGATTATATTAACTAATAAACCTCACCAATTGCAATTGCTCATCAAAAATCTCATTGTCCTCTTATGAATTAGGCGGTTTAACCATCAGGTCTCTCAAAATGTACGCTGAATCTCACACTCTCGAAACTATTTGAAATCAAACGACAACGGCAAACTCTAAACGCTTATGAAACAATTTGTTCAGAAGTTTCATCAAAATTGAAAACCTGCCTCCAGGATCCAAAAATATAAATTCATCAATCATGGCGCATCAGTCAACTAATTCATTGATTCATTGGTTGGTTGATCGGCTGTCGAGATGAATGAATGATTGATTGCCTGAATGTTTTAATGAGTTAATAATGGCTTGAATCAATTTAATCAACCAATTTAATGACTGGATGAAAAATATATCAGATGGTCAGCTGAGCAGTTGAATGAGTGAATGATGACTGACCATTTATTAGACGACTTGTCTCAAAAAATATTGTTGAAAATTGCAACAACAAACGAATTTCCCTTAGATGAAAATGATTTTAAATATTAATTTTAAGAAGTATATTTCAATTTCAAAGAGAATCTTTCTTCTTTTTATTTCCCCCTCATGAATACTTGTCATGCCTTCTCAATAGTTTTGTGTTTAGTTTATGGATCATTTATTTTATAGTCTGAGTTAGGCGTTCAATAATGTTAATATTTTGTTTAAAATATTTTATCAAATTTGTTTTCGGTGTTTTCTGCATTTTTTGATCAAAAAATAAAAATAATCATATGTATGAATGTGTGTAAAATTTAAATTCATAGCAAAAACTTGTTACTTGCTGTCAAATAACGCCTAGACACGAATATATACCATTTATTTGATTTTTACAGCAAATTTGTAGCTAGGTGCAAATCAAAATTATTCATTTATAAAAAAAGGAGAAAATTCAATGAGGTTCACTGAATAAATGAGACTAACTTATTCCCAATCATCATCTGGCCTATATGATGTTAATTTTGCACACCACATAACCATACGCACATCTAGTGAAAATACAAACGTAGATTCTACACATCCAACACACACACACACACACACACAGACACACACACATACACAACACACTCACCCAGACCCCACACAGAGAGAGAGACACCACACATACATACACACACATACATACTCACACAAAAAATAGTTCTTCATATACAGGCACAAATTCAAACAAATATACCATACAAATCTTTCAAAAGCCTAACCAATCACGTGACTTAATCTATTATAAATAAACTTCTACAAAAAAAACAAACCGCCCTAGCTAATTTCGTGACTAACTTTCGTGCCAGAGGAACCAGAATTTATCCAGTATGTAGTAGTAGAGCCAGAGAAAGAGTGGCGTGGAGACGAGAAGTAGAAGGAACACGACGAGAATGATCAGGGCGTATTTGATCATGTTTCAGTAAGTTTAGTTTATTTGAATTGGATTTTATTTTTAATTATTTATTTTATTATATATTAGATTCTATTTATTTCACACCATTTAAATTATTCGATAATAAGATTGTATATATTTTGTAATATTTTGTTGACTCCGGGATAAAATTAATGGTTCTGTAGATAATTATGTTATTAATCATTATTTTAAATTATTTAACGTGTTTTATGTTAAAACATTGGTTAATAATTAAGGTTTAACATTCTACAAACTCCAAAATAAAATACATAAATAAAAGATTACGACGTTAAACGTTAAAAAATTACTTGCAGTCATACTTTCGTCTCTGAACGCTATTTTATGCGTTAAATTACTTATTATATAATCAGTTTAAAACGTTTTAACTAAAATAAGCAAACTAATTAAACAATAAATAAATTAATTTAACCTAAAAATGGTATATACAAACGTTACATAGAGTTTATTTGATAGCATCAACTCATCAATTCACACACATGAACAATTTCAACAACAAAAATCTCTTTATTATCAGCAAAGTTCAACGTCTCAACTGCCTTCGATTCAAATCCATTTACAAATTTCAAACAAGTATCCGTAAATAAGCAATCAAGAGATACAAATGAACGATATCATATCATGAATGTACATCACATGTTCTAATATGATTGGTATATCATATACTATGTATACATTGTAAGTAACAATATACTCTATACATATTCACACACATATTCCTTTATATATATATGTGTGTGTGTGTACATGTATATATGTATCTGTATGTATGTATATATATATATAAATATATATATATATATATATATATCACAGACAAACTTCAAGCAAAATTAGAATATTGATTGTATTCACTCATCATAACCAGTATTAAATGAAAGATTTCATGCTTGCTGTACGAAAAATGAGTGAGTGTATAATAGAATGATGATGGTGATTGTGATCTGTTCATTGTTGGTTTGTGGCAGTTTCGAAAGATGGCCGTGGTGTTGTCTGATGTATGGTGATGATGACGTCATGCTGGTGATAATGGTTATATAAAGTGACATAAGAAAAAATAATGATGATGATGAGGATGATGTGGATGATGATAATAATAATAATAACAATAGTAGTGATAATTTAAGAAACTACGATTTTTTGTTTTTTTTTATTAATTTGTCGATGATAACGAAAATAAAAGAGTCTCAAATGATAAAAATCTTCAAAATTAAAATTATTTGAAGTTTACTTCTTCAAAAACAACAAACAAACACACATAAAAACATACACATATAAACAAACATACAAACACTACTCTCGGATATACACACCAACAAACACAAAAACCTCCACATACACACATACCACAAACGTAAACAAACGAAACCCACAACCGCAACAACGTTTTAAACATCGAAACTTAACAAAAACTGAATTTTTCAGAGGTTGTTGTTTTTTTTTTACTTTTCGGAAGGAAATTTGAATCTAGCGTGGTTTAAACTTAAGCAATTAAAAACCGTGATTTCTATATTTCAATTCCTGTCATTAATAAAAAATAAAACTCAAAATTTTTGACATCCTTTGAAATGAAAAGCACGACAAATCAACATACGAGCTAAATTGCTAAACCTAAATATTTGTACTTTTATTAGTAGTAGTAGCAGTAGTAGTAGTAGTAGTAGTAGTAGTAGTAATTTTATTAGTAATATTATTAAATATATTGCTAACGTAATAAAAAATTTTTTAATACAAATGAGCAATGTAACGAAAGAAGAAAAGATTGCAAACTTGCGGAAATGGCTGATTTGTCGGCTGCTGATGTTATTGAAAGTTTCTTTGACGTCATCCTGTCAGATGGTGTTTTTCGTTGTTATTATTTATCATTATTATTATTGTTGTTATCGTTGTTGTTGTTGAGTTTTTTGTTATTGTTGAGTTCGTTGTTGTTTTTTGTTGCTATCGGGATGGCTGTTGTTGAACGTGCTGTTGTTTTCGGTGTTGTTGATGTTAGCTTTAGTGTTGTTGATGACATTTTGTAACCGTTTTGATTTCTCTGATGAGTTTGTATTTATTTATCTCCATGACAGTCTGTCTCGGCGACTTACTAAAATACTTTAACAAACATTTATAAAATAGAATAAAACATAAATAAAATAGAGTTTGGAAAAAAAATTTGACAAGAGGTATAATTAGGCATCACAAGTGGTTAGCATTGCAAGGCCTTACATTTGAAGTTAAAAGGCTTCAGGCGCATAAATATGAAACATATCTATAGACATCAGCAGAAGCGCCCACACTACACTCAGACATTCACACACAAAAACCAACCACACACACACACACAAAAACCGCACACACAAACAAACCACACCACACACATACACAAACCACACACACACACACAAACAAACAAAAACCACACACACAGACAAACCACACACACGCCACTCAGACATACACACAAACAAACAAAAACCACACAAACAAACATACACAAACCACACAAACACACCGTTCAAATATACACATCAACAAACACAAAAACGCATTCACACA